AATTGACCTGTACGCTGTCATAACTCACATGTATTGATATATTGGATGGACCTTGGATGGACCGTCACCGTTGGCTTACATGAGTACATTATTTTGAACATTCGAAAACAAGGAATGCACACACGACAGAATAGATAGATAATACGAATTTTTCACGTGGTGTTTGAAATAATTCTCACCTGGATGTTTCATTAGTCATTTCGAGATGGGGTTATACAGTGTGGCTGATTACGAGAAACGAGCTCAAGAGATTCTATCGAGCAGCGTATGGGAATATTACGACTACGGAAAAGAACGACGATTGTGCCTGCAGGACAGTATCAACGCATTTTCAAGGTAATTCCGATTCCCTTCTTAGCATGGATACTAAATTCTATGGTGGCCCTGAATTTCAAGACGAAATTCGCGATATCGTCAATTTCGTCGTGAATAATTTGCGATTTCGTCTATTTGCGATGTCCCTTCAGGGCCACCATAAAATTCTGTGTCGGTGGAGGGGGGACTCGGTGCCCCACACTTGTTTGGTTACCCATAAATTGCCCCTTTTTTTACATAGAACTTGACAAGTGCCCCTTTTCTTTCCTAATAACTGTCCTTTTCATCTCTGATGAGTACCTTTTTTCAGGTGCGAGAATTTTTCCTATTCTTTCGTAAAAGGAACCCCCTTTACTTTCTCTTTAATGACACTTTTCGTCTTTGATATTAGTGCCCCTTTACCTTTCTAATACAAACCGATTCAGCCGAGGACGCAGGTTCGAAACTGAGTCACGTCTTTCGGATTCGGATGGTGACGTTTAAAGGTCGGTCCCAGACGTAAATAATCATATCTGATTGATACACGTCTGTAAAATCCCAATACACACACACACAAACACACATAGAGAACATTTATCCAAATTTCGTCTCGGTTGGTTTTACAATTTGTTGTTGTTGTTTGTAGTAGTTGCCAAAGCGTGCATGTAATTGAAATTTGTACAGGTGTAATGTATATGTATTGAAATGATGTTAACAAATACATTATTATAATGAAAGTGACTCTAACATTGCCCTTTTTGAATACGCATTCTATTTCTGTGATCGACATTTATTGCTCGTTCCCTCTATTATTAAAGACTATTATAACATTAACTCCCCTTCGGGGGCTATTATACAAATATACAATGACACTCGAGGGTCTAGCTGAAACTATTCGCATCGAAGGAACATGAACTAGTATGAAGGGGTGACCAAAGTTCGCGGACATTTTAGAACATATTACAAAATGTGATATTCGATCTATGATTTCTCACATTCTACACAACTTTATTTATTTCAATTATTACCAAATGGACGGCAAAGTTTTTTACTACAGATTGGTTCAACTAGAAAAATTTACCGTCGAAGGATTTCGGAGATATCGCGATCTAAAAATTCGATGTCCGATCGTGCGCGCGCGCTGCATCTAAAAAAGTCATAAAAACAATGAGACCTAACTTCACGCACGGTGGTTTACAGTTGATTTATCAAAAAAAGCGATCCATCAAAAATAAGGTAATATCATAATTTGCAAGGCAAGATATCGTACAATCAGTTCGTACCACTCTTTACTTACAATTTTCAGGATTTCTGATCTCAAAATGAAGATTTCCAGACCCTTATCGGTAAGTTGATAATTTTTCGGAACGGACGCAAATAACTGCAAAATTTGCCGATCTTTTGTCAATATTTTCACAATTTCGCAACCAATTCTAAAGAAAATTTCGTTTCTGGGTAATTTTAAGACCCTCTTTCCATTGGTGATATCAGATTTTCGAAATCTTACCGATTTTTTGAGAAAGCGAACTTTGGTCACGCGCGAACTTTGGTCACACCGCCATACAATTCTCCCGAGGGCCATCGGCCCGAGGGAGAATGATGTTCCTGAGTGCGAATAGTTTTAGCTTGTTCCGAGAATGAGACATTTTATATTTGTTTTATATCCCTTCCATCTGTAATATTCCTACACTTCTGTAATAACATGAACCTTATACACACATTCACATCTTATATTCAGAGCTAAAAGAAATAAAAGAAAATTGCACGGCTCAAAAACAGGGTTTAGCTGGCGCTATTGCGTATAGTGTAGTGCAATTATCGCGCGCATAGCGCAAATTGCATGTGCGCATGCTTGAGCACTGTGAGCTGAGGCATTGAAATCCTGTACGCTCGCTGACGTCACGCATAGTCCCTTTTTTTCCTAGGGAAAAAAAGGTACTATGCGTGACGTCATCAATAAAAAATGTACTATTTCGATGTAGGCGGCAGGAAACGTCTTTTATAGTAAAACTATTCATTTTCTTGCTGCGTACACTCCTAATGCAACAATCTTACGATAAGGGATATAAAAATAATTAGTCAGAAATCTAATTTCATGCATTCGAACAATTAGGACCATGATATGAGGTAATCACTTTCTGTTTTTGTCTTTGTTAATGGAATCTAAGTTTATTTGTACCATTCGCATTTTGAAAAAAATTTCAAATTTTAAATATAAAATATGTGAAATATGAAATAATAAACTGGAACTACTTTTTTAAATCAAGGGCTAATGCAGACTTGCATGTAAAATTCTCAGTTTTGTTCTGTGTTTAATACAGACAAAAACAAACCATTTCTTTATTTTTTTTTCTGATTAGACAATGATTCGGGAATTATTACAAGAAATGTAATGAGACCGATGTCCGTGGTATTTACGTACGTTAACAGGAAGGAGGCGTTTTAACTCAGTGGTAGAGCAGTGGTGTCTTAATTGGGAGGTCCCGGGTTCGAAACCAAGTCGATGCGCTAGTGCCATTTGGTAAGGCATTACAGGGATCGCTTAACAATGTTAAATCTGAGATACACGGTCACACGTGTTATCCATATCTTAAAGCCCTAAACAAATTGCGCTTCAAAATGATCAAGAAGTGCCTCAAAAAAAGTAAATATGTTTGAGTGACCGGTTTTACCATACTCGTTTTCCCCAATAGACTGAAGTGTTATGAAAATGTGTAATTCCAATCATAAATATCTTGATAATGAGACAGGTGATCGGCTTGTAAAATTCATGGGATTCCTGACTGACCTAAAGGCTTAAAATTATCATTGCAGTATGAGCTAAATCAAGGATTTTGTTTCAGAATGCGAGACAAAGTTACCGGATCCCTTTAATCCTCATTACAAAGTCCCTCGGAAGTCGAAGAGGACGTAAAGTTGTTGGTCCACTGGTTGCTCACTTACAAACACACAAATGCTTTCTTAGCAGTCAGGTAACAAACAAAGCAACCAACCAAGGGTATGTATTTATGAGTTTAAAAAAAAGAGTAATTCTGCAACACAATATGCTTTATTGGATACCTATTGTCAACTATCTTTGGTCCATTGATCGCAAGACACCAGGCAGCGCTAGGAAAACGTGTACATGCTTCATGATGCTTTATTATTTTTCTGATTTTTCTGATCAAGGTACCGAATCAGAAGTCAGGTACTCCAGGATGTTTCGAAGCGGAGTTTAGCCACCACTGTCCTTGGGCAGCCCCTCAAGTATCCCATATGCGTCGCACCAACAGCCATTCACACGTTTGCACACCGGAACGCCGAAAAAGAAACGGCCAAAGGTAAGGCCATTAAGAAGAAGAAAACAAGCATGTTTAGCGTCCCCGCCCGCTTTCTTTTTTGGGGTCGCCTCCTATTTTTTTTTTTTCGTTTTTTTTCTTCTTCAATTGATAAAAACATGAAAAACGTACTGCTAAAATGATCAATTTCTGATTTAAAAAAAAAATGCTGGTGCCATTTTGAAAAAAGCCCGACTGTCAGGGAAAATGTACCGAGCGGCCATTTTTGGGGGAAAGGGCCTCCTCATACCTATTTTTTAAAAGGGCAGGACGTTATTTTTTTTTTTGTAATGGCCTATTAAAGCAGTTTTCTAACCGTCATGCCATTTGTCGTAGATTGACTAAGCATCATGGCCTTCGACGAGCTTCGACTGTTTTTCAGGTAAAATGATTTTTACGAACGTGTTTTGATTGTGAGGTCGCATAGCGGCAGATCAGGTGTTTTCATTAGACAATATTAGAGTTATTCATGTTTTACGAGATTTGAACAATATTAGATGACTATTTACCAATAATGATTATGCATACATTTCCTTACTCGATCATATCAAACTTTCAGTTAATTGTTGTCAAGTTCTTCCTTGGGGGGGGGGGGGTGTGAACTGCTTCCATAGCCCCTCAAATACGCTCGTGGTGCAATCTGAGAATTCAACGTATATATCTTTCATTTTCAACAGGCGCAGAAGCTGCGGAAACATTAATGGTGCTGTCTGCTGATTCGGGCTTTCCAATGTCCGACGTTGCAGCTGCAGCCCCCAACGGTCATCACTGGATGCAGTTGTATCCATTTAACGATCCTCTACTCACGTTGTCAGTCATTCGACGAGCTGAGAGTCTAGGGTTCAAAGGCCTGGTCGTTACAGTGGACTCCCCCGCACGAGGACTGGACCTCCGAATGACCGAAATATTCCAAGAACCTCATATCAAAAACAACCCAGACCTCCGGTAAGTAGAATTATCTCTCTCTCTCTCTCTCTCTCTCTCTCTCACTCTCTCTCTCTCTCTCTCTCTATGAATAGGATGACTTCTTCCAGCTGTGCAAAAATGGATCAAATGACCCTTTTCGTACTAAAATATGCTATCCTTTTTGTTGAAAACAATCGGCTTTAACAAACTAAGTCAGTCTGAGGTCTAAAGGATCGAGTTAAACTAAATATTTTCAGTAGAAATGAGCCAAAGATTTTAATCTCCGTAAACTTATTTCATGGGTAAAGTTTCTTTTTTCATTTGACCCGAGTGATACCCCAGTAACACCAATGGGGCAGCCCCAATATTGAAAACACGACGGAAAGAATTTTACAATGCCTCGAATGGCCCAGAATCTGTTGGTTTAGAGTAGGCGTGGAGCTGGTTCGGTGGTGTGGGTAAGGTTTCAAGAAGTAACTAGATTGTCATTGATAAACAAGTAAATTGAAATAATTCCGTGTACTTGGACTGCTGTTGATATTGTAATTATATTTTACCGATAGCTCCAAACGAAAAAAATCACCTTTTGATGGAAAGGAGCTACATTGTGTATACGGTCCCTCTGTGTCCCATCTGAAATTGAACACAATCTTCAGGAGGCGTAATGTTTACTGGTAGAGCAGGGTCAGTGTGGTGAATTTGTAAAGGAGCTTGACTCTCACCGCAGAGATCCTTCGTTCAATCCTCCTCTAATGCTTTTACCTTGGGCGTTCCACGAATTTCTTATGTTACATCTGTTAGAAATGTTATAAATTATCACCATTATCGGTTATATCTTCCCATCCCCCCCCCCCCCCCCCCCCACAGAATGCCGGTATTTGAAGCTGATATCCCATCGTCACGTGCAGCCACAGCAGAGGGCGACTCGAAACTCATCAAATATTTTAGAAAAATGCAATATAATCCTACTGCTACTTGGGACTATATTAGATGGATGAAAAGCCAAACCTCTCTACCAATTGTTTGCAAGGGGATACTAACATGTAGGTATGATGGTTGATGCTCAATATAAATGTTTTATTAGGCAAATGTCTCAATGATCATACATTCCTTTGTGGCGATTCCGTCCACTGTGACCCTTAAAGGGATCGTTTAACAATGTTAAATCTGAGATACACGGCCCTACGTGTTATCAGTGTCTGTGATATGGTGTAATATTGAAGCCCTAAAAATATTGCGCTTAAAAATGATCAAGAAGTGCCTCAAAAAAGTAAAAATCTTTGAGTGACCGGTTTTACCATACTCGTTTCCCCCAATAGACTGTAGTGTTATGAAAACCGTCAGGCGAACGGTTTTCAAAATTTGTAATTCCAATCATAAATATCTTGATAATCAGACAGGCGATCGGCTTGTAAAAGTCATGGGGTTCCTGACGGACCTAAAGGTTTATAATTATCATTGCATCATGAGCTAAATTCAGAATTTTATTTCAGAATCTGAGACAAAGTTACCGGATCCCTTTAAGACCCGTTCAGATATGGCGTGGTAAACTGCTGCAAAAACGTCGCCGCGTTGTCTTTTTTCTTTCTTTTTTTTTGTTGTGGAGGGGGAGGTGGAGGAGATATCAAATGAATGACATTTTTGAGGAGGTAAAAAGAAAAGCCACCGCGGCACAAATCATATTTTTTGTGCCGACTGGCTGTCGGCAATTTGTTCTCCTTAACCAATCAAATTTCTACAAAGTTGATTGATTGATTTATTGATTAGCATATAATATGACGTCGTGAGTAAAGCCTGCGCAACTTTTGACAACACTCTCCTCGTGAGAAATTTGTAACGAATGACAAGGTTTACCAGCACCTTTTTTGCTTGAAATTCCATAGACGCAAAAAAGTCCCTGAAAGGCTTGCTCTGGTAATGCTTATTAAGTCAAAATATGACTAGAAACAGTGGACAAATTTGAACCAAACTGTCGTACATGTGTGTGTAGTCCAATATACGCATTTAGTGTGCATCACTTGCGAATTTCAATTTCAAGTTTGAATGACTTTCCTGTCATGCTTATGATTCCATAACCTCACAGATGCTTTCATCATTAAATCTCAATACCAGAACTCAACGTTATCTTTGAAAGAACGCGGGGTCAGAACCTCGGGACGCCACCGCGGTGCACCGCACAGTGGGCCAGGGAGGGACCAAAGTGCGCCAAAACTATTTTTGGGTGATTTATTTTTTTCAATTTTTTTCTTGCCCAGTTGAAAGGTAATACATAGAGGAATACCTCAGTGAAATATTTAATTCCGGTATGCACAATAAGGGTATAAATTTACTACTTCAATCAGCAAAATCCTACATATTCACAGTTTTAGTGCAAAAGTGACCTATTTTATAAATCTTTCAATTCAACATGAAGTTTTTAAGTTATTGATATGAAATTGCTCTCACATATTCCTGATAGTTCATTTCGTTGAATGAATGGGTTAAAATTAATAGAAACACAATCTTCATGATATATTATAGGGTAATTCACTGAAAAATGGACTAATTATCCATGTTTTTTATAAATCCAGAAGAAATGTTTAGATCTCTGCGGTGTACCGCTTAAATTTTAATACCACCCTTTCCTCTGATGTCTAAGCTTCAAGTTGATACCAAATTTGGCTGCCCAAACTTGCCCATTGTTATGTTAGAGCCGATTTCCCTTGCCACATTGCCCCGAAAATGTGGGTTTTTGGGGTCCGCGGATGAATCATGAAGGATTCGTGGTCATAAATCACGGCGCGAGGGGGCGCGTGACACTTGTTCTGACACCGCAGACCAAAATAAACACATTTTTCGGGGCAATGTTGCAAGGAAAACAGCTCTAACATAATAACGGGCAGAATCGGGCAGCCAAATCTGGTATCAACTTAAAGCTTAGACATCAGAGAAAATGTTGGTAATACAATTTAAGCGAAAATCCCTGGAAATCTAAACATTTCCTCTGGATTTATAAAAAAGAAATCCCCAAACATGAGTTTTGGCGCACTTTGGTCCCTCCCTGGCCCACTGTGCACCGGTCCGACGGTATAACGGGTAACAAGCGGTCCGATGGGGGGAACTATCCATTTCACATTACTTTAATACAAGTATTTCTAACAACAAAAATGTAATATTGGTATGGCACATCAGTTTTTCAAGCAACTGTTTGAAATACGTTTGCGTTGATAAAAAATACAGTATTAGCTGAGTAAAGCTTATTCTTTAATGATAAGTGGTAAGAAAAATATACGTACCCATAAATAGACCCAAAGTAGCAATTATAATGTCCGAGCTTGTCATACACTTGGTTCCTAGACAGAATGTTAGCGAATGAATGTTTTTTTATTTTAGAAACTATAGTAAAAAGAGGAAACTTTTGTTTAATTCTCATACAAGCTGAATCTGCAAAAGCTGCCGCAGACGCAGGGGTTGATGGGATAATAGTATCAGCCCATGGAGGAAGACAAATGGATGGCGCTCCTGCTCCGGTAATTTCGTTGTAATTTTCTAAATCCGAATCACCTTTCCGATTTCCCGGAATTTCATTTTTTGGCGAGTCCAGTGTATGTCCCTTAGGCCTAAAAATAAAAAATGTTGTATTGCCCTTTAGGTGCCAAAACATGGGTCGGTCGGCTTTTCTTTTTTTTTAATTAAAAAAAAAATCCCTGTTTTGGCTGATATTTCTCAGTTTTGAATGCTTTAATACATTTTTTTTTCTTAAAAAAGGTTTTAAAAAGCCGACCGTAGATTTCAAGATTTTGGGGTCGGTCGCAAATGGCAATACAACATATTTTTCTTTTAAGGCCTTACGTCACACAGTATTTTTTCGTATAGTTTTCTGAAGGCTACATGATTTTGTCCTGATACTAAACATATGTAAATGTATAAAATACAGAGTACCTCTTTAAAACGAGGTTGAAAAAGCTGGGCCTGTACCGCCGAAATCCCTAACCCAAATTTTAGCTCTCCGAGTCCGACCCTGATAGTCTTAAATTATGCGTTAATGAACCAAGATCGATGCCCTGGCTGAAGTGGTGGACGCTGTCCGTGGTCGAGATATCGAAGTCTATATGGACGGCGGTGTAAGGACAGGAACAGATGTCTTCAAAGCTCTTGGGATGGGCGCACGGGCCGTGTTTGTTGGAAGGCCTATCTTATGGGGACTGGCTTGCGAGGTAAGAAAAAACAAAGAGAATATTTGATGGTACCGCGTTTCACAATACTTGTCATCAGTGACAAATAACAGATTTTGTTACAATCTACTGAAATCCTCGCTTCTGATTGGTTATCAGCAGATTTGTCACTGATTTTTGTCATTTGTCATTGAAAAAAGTCTTTGTGAAACAGGTCCCAGGGGTGATGGGTATGGTGAACTGAGTGATGAATAAAGGAAAAAGACGATACAGGGGCGGATCCATGATTGTCGAAGGGGAACATGGTGGAAATATTCCTGATGTTACCACCTCATCAAATAAGCTCTCAATCAACATAAAAAAGGAGATGATGGGGGACCGATGGTTACCGATTAGACACTGTTTGCTATATAGAGGGCGCGAGTAGCTACACGTAGTGCAGTGGGGCTTTAAACGGGCTTCCTTTATCACAGCTCCACAAACCTGGGCCCTGTTTCATACTTGGTATCACTAACAAACGATACATTTCTATTACAAATTTGCTCTAAGCCAATCAAATGCCACGATTTCAGTAGCTTTTAACAGTTATTGTAACTCGTTATTGATACCAAGTTGGGCTCTCGAGTAACGACAATTTTGTAAAGGATGCGACCTCACTGGCTGGGCACCTTCAAAAACAATCTCAAACAAATCTATAGAATTTGTTTGTTTGTTTCATTTCTTTAAAATTTGTAATTTGCCTTTTGTCAGCTACTCTACTTTGCGCTAATGTTTTTGTGAATTTCTCTATTCTGTAAATCTTAATCTTAGTTAATATTTTGTGAAAGCCCTTTGTATTTGTTTTACAAAAAACAGACCAGTACTTTTATCCCTTTAAGAGCGCCATTGTATATTGTTGACGGTCCTTGTTTTATCCATGCTCGATGCTTGGAGAAGTTGTTTTCGCCCATGCTTGTCCCTCTCGACCTAGAAGTATCAAATGTTTATCTGTAAATGATGGGATAAATGATGTTAATGATAATTACAGGGTCCTCTAGAACACCACTACATGCACTTGTGTGGACATTCTGGATGAACAAGACCATTAACAAAATTATTTTCACATTTTGTCTTTGTGTCCAACTTGCAGGGTGCAAAGGGCGTCAAGAATGTGCTTGATATACTCCGATCTCAATTAGATGACGTGTTAGCAGTAAGCGGTAAGAAACGGTTTTCTTCGGTATATATCAACACGGGGGTGTCTTGTAGTGAAAGGGAATGTTACAAAGAATACAGAATTTGAAAGGGGAAAAGAATGATTATTGAAGAGAAAGAATGATTATTGAAGAGAAAGAATGATTATTGAAGAGAAAGAAAGTTACTTTGAATGAATGTAATACCTCGTATTGATAGCAGAGTTGTGTTGTCGTGTCCCGATAGGGCTTCAGAAAATATGCAAGTTCTTACTGGCTCATCCCCATCTTAAAGTTATGAAAGTTTGGAATATGGGATCACTCTATCTATACTGTATATGCGAATCTCAAAGTGGCAATTTCGTCAGTGGATTGTGGCGTAGTTTGTCGTGTACCAAAATATCGTACGATATTTGACTTTTGAGTTATTAAGAATCAAAAGCATAATTCTGTTTACATCTACTACCGATGTGTGTGTGTGTGTGTGTGTGTGTGTGTGTGTGTGTGTGTGTGTGTGTTTGCTTGTTTGTATGTTTTAACGTGTTTTTTCCCCCTATAAAATTATTTCTACTAGGTTGCACTTCGCCTGGTTGCATCCCTGAAGGAACAGTTGTACATGAATCGTATTACCATCGAGATCCGAGCCGGGGCAGGGAGAAGAGCAAGCTTTAAAGCCCCACTGTACTAGTTTGGCCATGAGGGATTAGACCTCCCTGCATGGTCACTGACAGGTGGTTATCTCATCAAATCAGCTCTCAATTAACATAAGAAAAAGAGGATCAAGGGGGACCATTGATCACCGATTAGGCATTGTTTTCTATATAGAGGGCGCAAGTAGCTATAAGTAGTGAAGTGGGGCTTTGAAGGAATAGGCCGTCAGCTTCCATGTGCAGAAGGTCATAATTCGTTGTTACCAAACTTGGTGGAAATACCAATAGTAGGTGAACAATATGGGGAGATGGGTGGAATATGCAAAGCATTAAATAAGGCCATAAAGCTGTTGGTCATAAAACTGAAGGCTATCATGGTGATTGACAACACCTAAAAGTGTTATTGGGTAAACACCCGAATGGTGTCGAATTCCCCATGAGAGCCCACTACTTTGCGTCTTTAAAGGGACTTTGTAACATTGTTCATATGAGAGATAGTGGTGCTAAGGTAGTGACTTCAATGCTAGATGTACAATTAAAGATAATCTGAAAATTTGAGTGAAAACGGATCATTATTCATGGTACAAACTGGGAAAAACTGATCTGATCGATTCCTTCATTCTCCCAACTATATTATTCTACTTCTATTCTGCTACTTGTCAAAGCCTCTTCAGCATCAAGACAAGGACAATTTAATTACATTTTAGGTGAATGTAAATCGTCACAAAGCAATAAAATGGCTCTACATTCCATTCCAGACAGTTAAGTGTTGACAGATATTTATAGCCTGTTTTATGTATTTTTCTCATGGAAAAACGGTTGGAAAAATTCAAAAATGGTTGGGAGAATTTACTGTTAATCACTGTTAGAGGGTGCCTCACATCGACGCCTTCAAAGAAAATCATAGATATCTTTGTGGTTTAAGAATTTGTTCAGGATTTTTTGCATGTCAGAGGGTTAGTATAGTAGAAGGAATATAGTAAGTAACATTTTATACAAAAATTAAGCAATTTTTTTCATCAACCTTCAACAATGTTACCGAGTCACTTTAATAGACCGTAAGACCTCCAAAGCTAAGAAAATAGTAATTCTGAGTTGTTGTTTTTTCTTCTCTTCAAAGAAGCGACAGAACGATTTTCCGAGTTATTTCTCTTTCACAGTTATAATTGTAATTTAATCCTGAATTAATCCTTGGCACTTGATGCCCAATGCTTATTAAGCTGTTATGGAGACGGATATTCCATCCCTCCCGGTGCAGTGAGTACAAAACGACGATATTCGTTTCCATAAAAAAAGTGTACAGTAATGAGAAGTTTTTGTATTTACATTATTATATCCTTTCCACCTGCATGGCATGGTCAGGGGTGGCTCACGTGATGTATAATTTCTCCACCATGAAAATGGTATAGCCAGGATACATGTATATCTCATTTGACGTCACGCACAGATCAATGAAGTGTTTGAGAGTAATCTAAAACGTGTCTGTTTTAAATCGGCACATAATTCTTTTTTTTTTAATGGAGAACAGTATGAATACTGATGAGGCTACCCTGGGTAAACAGGACATATTATTATTATTATTATCTTACTCCTGTTTCTTTGTTTATAATGCAGATGTTTTTAATATATGATCTCTTTTTTGTTGTTGGTAACGCAATTATTTGATTTCGAATGGATCCGGCGCCTTACAAATCTCATGCATTATCATCATCATTATATACCTGTATATCTGTAAAGCGCTTAGAGACGTCTATTAAGCGCTATATAAAAGCGGAATATTATTATTATCATTAGGCTAGAATCGACATTTGTAACAACTCTATTATCTGTATTGCCAGATATTACTGTTGATGTTTAGAAAATTCCAAAATCTGAAGACTATCGATGTTTTCATTGACTGTACTTTATTGTAGCAGAATATCTTGAAAATACTTATTCTAGGATTCTTCTATTAACGTTCTAATAATTATTCGCTCACTCTACTAAAGGAAAACAAGTCACATGGGAATTTAAATTTGATAATAAATAGTCTAAATTTTATTTATTCAATTTTTTTCATTATTTTATTTTCTTCAAACAACATGGGGAAATACCCTTTTGGTGCAACTGCATACCATACGTAACCCTGTATCTAAGACATTACGGTCCAGTTGAAGTTTACGGAATGTATATATTTCATTAAAAGTCATTTAATATATTAAAATATGTCAATTTGTATAAATGTTATTATCATGGTAATATGTTAATGTTTTGATTGACTAATAAAACCATGCATTAGTGCTTACAATTCTTTTACTTATGTCTGTCTTTGTATAATTCACATATTCAGGTGGAATATAATTGATGTTAAATGGATTCGAATAATGATCACGGCAAAAAGTTTTGAGTGGTCCGCGAGAACGAGATTAACAAGGTCGGTCTCGCAGACCTTATGACAATTTGCATGAAGGTTCACGAGACCAACACGTGTGATCTTGCGGTATGTTGTTCTTGTGGGCTGTCGGTCAACTAGATTATCCCGGTTTCAATATATTGTTTATTAAGGTTTTCCACTGATCTGGTAAGTTAATCATCATCATTCATTATCATCATCACCACCAATGTTGATTGTCTCCCCAAGATAACAAAACCTATAACTTCTCAACATCTCCCATATAAATCCCTTCTTGCTTCTCCACCACTTCATTACTAATCTCCCTGTATTTCTTGCACTCAAAACTCTCAACCATTCTGCACATCTTGCATGAACCCACTTTTGACATGCCATACATCTGATAGAGTTCCTCTCCACAGACACCACATACACTGCATGGATCTATTTAGTTTTTATTCCACTGATGTTGCCCCACCAATCGCTTCCATCACCTTTGTCTTTCCCATGTGCATTATTCCAGAAGGTGAAATCGAGGAGTTGGAATCCCTTTCCAGATGTTGCATATTCAGCCATCAAAACTACAAGTCATCTGCATTCAACATGTTCCATAACACATCGAGGGGTCAGTGACACAAAGACGTAACTCACTTTTTGGCCATTTTGCATTATCATTACTGGCTCCAAAGATCTCTTATGTTGCTTATATTATTATTACTAAATAGAGCAGTAATGATAATATTTCGCGTTTAAATAGCGCTTAATTTATACATCGATGATGTCTCTTGGCGCTTTACAGATATACCTGTATTAGCCCGCACATTCTCCATTTCCTTGGGAGCATTCCAGCCAGGCGCCATTTTACAGACACTCACAATACTGAGTAAATTCCATCAACGTTTAAAAACATTAACGGGATTTGAACCCCTGACCTCGTCATTTACGATCCGATGACTTATCCACTAGACCACAACACCTCTACTAGGTAATTATAAGCATAAATACATATATATATATGTATGACAGTCAACACCTTGCAATGACGTAACCAAATGTGGCGTGGGGAATGAAAGCCCCTAAAAAACGATTACTTTGGGGGGATGTCGTTACAGGTGCCGGCCAAGTTTTCTGCTATTGACTCTGAGAATGAAATGAGAAGTGGAATTCTTATAAAAGCTCTTTCATTCATTCTACCGAAGAGAGAGAGAAAGAGAGAGGGTCGAGCGAAAGAGAATGTGAGGGAGAGAGAGAGGGAGATATATATATATATATATATATATATATATATATATATATATATATATATACATATATATTATAGAGGGAGAGAGAGAGAGAGAGAAAGGGGAGGGGTGAGAGAAATGTGGGGATCTGTTAATGTAAGAGAGGAGGGTAATGTAAAGAAAAGGGGAGAAAGAGAAAACATAATTATGTGGGGAAAGATAGAGTGAGAGAGAGCAAGAGAGAAAGAGAGAGAGAGAGTAAGAGGAATACACGATTAAAATTACGCCTCGCCTACAAATGGAATCGGATTTAGCAGTCCCTTTGTGGAAGTCAAGAGGAATTTTGCTTTTATTTCATTAATTAATCAATTATTTACCGCTTGTGGAATGGAACGCCCTTTTCAGTGTTATAAAGATGTCAAGCTACCATGCCCAACTTTAGCTGACGAATATGATACTCCTTGCATTTCTGTTCATGCTCATGCTAGAGAAAATGCCACTAACGAAATTCGAAAAAAATAATTTTAAATAAAATTTATTGGTGACATCGGGTATCACGAAAAATGCCCTACCCATTCTCTCTCTCTCTCTCTCTCTCTCTATCTCTGTATCTCTCTCTCTCTCTCTCTCTCTTGCCCTCTTCCATCTACCCCCTCTTTCCCTTTCCTCTCTCCCCTCTTTCTTTCTCTCTCTTTCTCTCTTGCTCTCTTTTTCATTCTCTCCGTACTCTGAAAAGAAAAAACGTTTTTACCACGTTTGTTCTTATCAAATGAACTTTGGAACACTTTAGTCGTGGGGCTACATGAGTAAACACTTAGCTTGTCGTTGCGCCGTAACTCTTTATAAAGATTAGTTAAGTAGAATACAACGCTCAGTACTGACCCCGGTCCCCAACATAAAAAAATCCTCTTGACGGCCATGCATTATGGCTCAAGGCATGGACACACAGTGGATTTTTTGGCAGCCGGGGTAAAATGCAATAAATTATTGAAAATTTATTGCATTTTCTTTGTTTTTTTTTATTTATGGAAACTGCCCCCTACCCTAGCCCCCGCTGCGTACAGTCATGGTTCAGTGACAAAGGAATGGCCTCGTAACTGTGAGGCCCCAGGATCAAAACCGTGTCGATGTGCTATATTAGTGCCCTTTTGTGGGGCATTAATCCTCATTACTGTCATTTATGACTTAAGGGCGTAGGTCCCTTATTTGATAAGCATAGTAGCATACACATGCTTTAGCAGTCACATTGGCAAATTATTATTCAATAAAATCTGAGAATGTATACTATTATCTAGATCTATTATTTTTTTAATTATTTTTAAAATAATTCCATAAATTGGAGTAAAACAAAAATATTCCAACTTCATGAGCGACAGTGTATCTCTTATGTTGCTAATACTAGTCAGCAGAAATCTCCGCAAAACCTCACAAAAGATCCGCCAACAAGCCTACTTCTCTCTTGTTAGACCTCATCTGGAATACTGTTGCTCAGTCTGGAACCCTCACACAAACAATCATATATCCAAAATCGAGGCAGTACAAAGGCGAGCAGCAAGATTCACCCTCCAGAGATATCGTCGTATGGCCAGTGTCTCGGCCATGATTCAACATCTGAAATGGGAGAGCCTGGAGAGGAGAAGAAATGCTGCAAGCCTCCACCTCATGTACAAGATCCAAAACGACACAATAGCCATCAATGCACACCATTACACAGCACCCATGATTGCCAGCAACACACGACAGTACCACTCAAAGAAGTTGCTGGCTATCCCATCCCGCACACAGCTCTACCAGAACTCATTTTTCCCTCGGACAGTAACTGCGTGGAATGCACTTTCAAAGATCACCCTTGACGCTACTCCACTGGAGGGCTTCAAGGGAGCGCTTCCACCAAGCATCTAGACCAAGAACTAGATAGTTTATTTCTCAGCACTACATCCTGACTTATGGATCCTGCTGAGTATCGTCGTAGAAGTAGAAGTAGAAGTATTACTTAATATGGCAGTAATGATAATATTCCGCGTTTAAATAGCGCTTAATATATACATTGACGATGTCTCTAAAGCGGTTTACAGATATACATGTATTAGTTGATTGATTGATTGATTGATTGATTGATTTTCATTCGCCGAGCTTCCAACATACAACAATATACAAAAATAACAGATTAAAATAACTACCCCCAGACAACTACCCCCTAGCACAACTACCCCCGGTCAATTACCCCCGGACAACTATCCTAGGGGGTAGTTGTCCGGGGGTAGTTGTCCTAGAGGATGGTTTTCGCAAGGGGTAGTTGACTGGAGGGTAGGTGTCCGGGGGGGTAGTTGTCCCAGGGGGTGGTCGTCCTAAAGGGAAATTGCCCTAGGAGTATGAGAGGGTTAGAAAAAAAGTGGGGATTTGTTAATGCATGTAGATACTCTTGGTTAATGTAAGAGAGGGGGAAATGAAGAAGGAGAGAGGAAGAGAAAACACATATGGGGAAAGAGAGAGATAGAGAAAGAGAGAGAGAGAGAGAGAGAGTAAGAGGGATACACAATTAAAATTACGCCTCGCCTACAAATGGAATCGGATTTAGCAGTCCTCTTGTAGAAGCCAAGAGGAGTTTCGCTCTTATTCAATTAATTGCTTTATTTTATTTACCGCTTGTGGAATGGAACGCCCTTTCCAGTACGATTTAACCAGTGTTATCAAGATGTCAAGCCACCATGCCCTTAACTTTAGCTGACGAATATGATACCCTTTGCATTTCAGTTCATACTAACAGAGGAAATGCCACTAACGAAATTCGTAAAAAATAATTAAAAATAAAATGTATCAGTGACTTCGCAAAACATAAAAAATTGCCCTCCTCATTCTCTCTCCCTCTCTCTCTCTTCCCCGCCCTCTTCCCTCCCCCTCTTTCCCTTTGCTCTCTCCCCTCTTTCTTTCGCTCTCTTTCTCTCTTGCTCTCTCTTTCATTCTCTCCGTATTCTGAAAAGAAAAAACGTTTTTACCATGTTTGTTCTTATCAAATGAACTTTGGAACACTTTAGTCGTGGGGCTACATGAGTAAGCACTTAGCTTGTCGTAGCTATAGTTATACTAAATACACTAATCGGCAGTACGCCGGTCATTTCCACCCCGTGTCTTTGCGCCGTAACTCCTTATAAAGATTAGTTAAGTAGAATACAACACTCAGTACTGACGACGCTATAACAATCTAAAGAAAATAGGGCTTGAAGAATAAACTTTGTTAAGGCACAATTTGAAGATTCCGTGTCTCCGTCATTTTTAAGACCAACGTTCGAAGGCCTCCTACTAGTTTAAGTTTGAATCGAAAAGATGGCGCCTGGTCCAGACCCGGTCACAGAAAAGGCTGTTGTACGTGATGCTGTAGACATGACAGAGGATGATGAACTAGTACCCCTGCTGTCAAAGGGAAGAAGTGAGTACAATAAGAAAAGTTACCACCAATTTGTTTTCCATTTGTAAACGTACTCCGTATTCATATACATGTGATCAGGGAGGTGATAGAGATAGAATGGAAACTCTTGTAATTTATTCAAACGGATGCGTGAGTTCCAAAGCATAGCAATAGGATGTTTAACGTTCCACTTGACTTTGGAGGTTTATGCTCCAAGCCGCTCTTCAACTGCTGGGAATTTCGGAGGCCAGGCACCAGTTTCACATTGTAACCCCTCGAAAAAATGCATCCTTCGCCCTGAGAAAAATTGGTAAAATTCGTAAATTCCTTTCCAAGTCATCCACTGAAATCCTCGTCCACGCATTTATCAGTTCACTCCTTGACAGTTGTAATAGCTTGCTCCATGGAATTCCGGAAAAAGATATGGCCAAGCTGCAAAGAATCCAGAACTCTGCAGCACGTCTAGTGTCTCTCACCAAAAAACATGACCATATTACACCAACCCTTAAACAATTGCATTGGCTCCCCATTCAATTTCGCGTCCAGTTCAAAGTTCTTCTTTTAACCTTCAAGTCTCTTCATGGTCATGCCCCAAATTATCTTTCTGAACTGATTCAATTATACACACCCAATAGGCCCCTTCGTTCTGCAAATCAAACTCTCTTGACTGTAAAAAAAGCAAAAACAAAATACTTTGGTGATAGGTCCTTTTCATGCTCTGCTCCACGTCTGTGGAATTCTCTCCCAGCCTCCATTCGTTCCATCTCTGATATTACTTTGTTTAGATCCAAATTAAAAACCTACCTAATGGAAAATGCATATTCAACCTAGCTCTTAAATTGTTACGTAGTTCTTAAATTGTTACCTTACCTTGTTATCTTATGTTTCATAATTTCACTTCATATTTGTTTTCTTGTCATTACTCTGTTTAGTTTTAATTGTATCAATATTGTAAAGCGCTTTGATATAAATGTTTTATGAAGAGCGCTATATAAGTAAAAGTTATTATTATTATTATTATTATTTTTGCTAAATCCAATCATTATTGTTATTATCATTATTGTTATTATTGTTTTTTACATTATTGTTATTATTGTTTTAAACATTATTTTTATTATTGTTATTATTGTTATTATTATCATTATCATCATTATTTTTTTTACTACTATTGTTAATTTTAGAACCATCATAATTATTAATATTATAATCATTATGATTATTATTATCATTAATTTTTATCATTATCATTATCATCATTATTATTATTATCATTATTATTATTATTATCATTATTATTATCATTATTATTATTATTATTATTATCATTATCATCATTATTATTATTATTATAATTCTTATTCGTATTATCATTATTATTATTATTTTGATGAACTCTACGCTATGTGATGCAGAATTCAGTGCAACCAACAGCGCAGCGAGTTACGGGACCTTACTGCTACAGCTGACCTGAGATGACGTTATAGAGTTAGAAATTCTAGTATAGTCTGGCTTTCAAAGAAACAAAAGAATAACATTCGTACTTTGAGACTTGTTGATAAGAAATTCCCTTCTTCACTTGATATTTTCGTGGTTATAGAGTAACGATCTTTCATTCAAGTGCGATGATTGCACATTACAACAACAAACAAAATTCAAAAGAAGAAGAAAAAAAAATCGTATTTGCAAATGTACTTTTGGATTGCTTGATCGGATGTTTTGTCACGTCGAAACCTAACAGGCCTTTGGGGGATCGGAAACTTTTCTTCCTTCGAAATCTCTGATGAGATTAAGGTTGTTTGTTTTTAAATGAGAGACGTTCCGGAGAATACCACGTAGTGAGCGTATTCAAGTAAACCACTCCCTCACTCATTATAATCGTTATGATTATTATCATCATTATTATTATCATAATCATTATCATTATTATTATAATCATTATTATTATTATTGTTATTATCATTATTATTATTATTATCATTATCATCATTATTATTATTATTATTATTATTCTTATTCGTATTATCATTATTATTATTATTATTATCATTATCATCATTATTATTATTATTATTATTCGTATTATCATTATTATTATTATTATTATTATCATTATCATCATTATTATTATTATTATTATTCGTATTATCATTATTATTATTATTTTGATGAACTCTACGCTATGTGGTGCAGAGTTCAGTGCAACCAACAGCGCAGCAAGTTACGGTACCATACTGCTACAGCTGACCTGAGATGACGTTAGAGTTAGTGATTCTAGTATAGTCTGGCTTTCAAAGATAAAAAAGAACAAACTTCGTACTTTGAGACTTGTTGATAAGAAATTCCCTTCCGCACTTGATATTTTCGTGATCATAGAGTAAAGATCTTTTATTCAATGTGCAATGATTGCACATTTTAATAAAATTAAAAAAACAAAAACAAAATCATATTTGCAAATGTACGTCAGGATTGCGTGATCGGATGTCTTGTCACGTCAAAACCTTTTAACAGGCTTTGGCGGGATCGGAAACTTGTCTTCCTTCGAAATCTCTGATGAGATTAAGGTTGTTGAGATTAAGGTTGTTTGTTTTTAAATAAGAAACGTTCCGGAGAATACCACGTAGTGAGCGTATTCAAGTAAACTACTCCCTCACAGGCCTCACCCATTGAACTCTGTCTGAAATCCCTCTCAATAAAGTTTCTTCCAGTCTTAGAATTAAGTAATACAAGTTTTATCTTGCGCGTGACGCACTCCCCGCCCTATACATACACACACCAATAAATATTCTTGAATTCTATGCTTATATCCTACATCTAAATTCATATTATCAATTCCATATACGTTAAAAGGCTAAATCAATAGTCATTACATACAACACTTGTTTTCTAAACCCATTTTCAATCGTTAAAAATGGAATCAGTAGAAAAATGGACTAAATAAATTTGAATAAAAGAAATCAGAACGGAAATATTACGTAATCAAGTGATCGTGTCATGCTAAAATAAATGAACGCTTAACAAACAAAATTGGCGTGCATGAGACAAGAATTTGAATGAGAAACATATCAATTTGATCGACTAAAAAGCGAATTTGAATGCAAAGATCATTAATTTAAACTATCACATAGAAAGACAGGGCTAAATTGTGCTAAACTGAATGCACGCAAATGGCTTCGATTGGCAAAGTCGCGAAATTGGCTGGGAAAAACCTATATTATCTTAAACGTGTAAACCAGTTTTGGAAACGCCCCCTCTCAAAAAATGAAATGGAAGCTCTTATTACCAATCATGTGAAAGAATATGTTTGACTAATACGTGATGATACAATTTTTTTCCGGGAAACCGCCTACTAATTAATATATATGGTACCGGATAGATATCGCGCACGTGTCGCGTAGTCCCATATACATCTTTCTGTGTACAGTTCTTGTAACTTTTCCAAGACTGGGCCAAATTTCTTATCATTTGGATGATTCCAGCACCTTGCGGTACACACCAATACTTATATGCTAGATGATCAACCTTTTCTGATCGATTCCACAACATTTCTTTCACAATGCAATCCTTGAATCGCATGACCAGAACTGGTCGTTACTTTAAAATAAACATTGCATGGATATCGGCCAAGTTCAACTGCTTAATGAAGGTTGTGGTTTTACGTCATTGATTGCAAAGACACTCTGGTCGTGGCATATCATCGTAGGTAAACAAGATAATATGCCTAAGGTCATGGTGGTATTTCGCTATTTAAAATCAAGAATTGACTTTGATTCGTGGTTTGCTTAGAAGTTATACACTTTATTTGCATAAACTGGTTATCATCAGGGCATTATCTGAATACGAGAAATAACACGTGAGCACTTTTAGCTATGCCACAAGCTAAATCAAATTAATTCCTAATTTCTCGTCCCCTCCTTTTTTTCTCTGCCTGTGATGAATTATTGATTAAGTGGCCCAAACATGTTAGCGTGGATTTTGGGCTGCCTATTTTGTTTTGTTACGGAGGGGGGGGAGTTTGTTCTGAAATGAAGTAAAGAAGAAACTGAAGACATCTAATGTATTTCCCTCTTTTTTGAGCCTGTGAAGTGCATGAATGTACAAATGAAACTGAATTATTAACACAATGTATAGAGAAAAGGACCCGATAGTATTTCATACACAGGAATAGTATTTATTTATTTTATTTATTTATTTGTCGTCTTATTTTGACAGGGTAGCCCTTTCAGTTATAAAAACTGCTCGACCAAGGGGCCTGTATCAACATAATCAAAAACATTTTTACAAAACATATAAACATAAATAAGTTATAATGAACACAAAAATTAAACAAGATAAAATATTGAAATAAATGGGGAGGGGGGGGGGTAAAATATTCATGTAAGTACTATTTTAAACTATGTGAGAGAAAGGAGTTTGCAGTGTTTTTAAATGAATCTAGTGAGTTTAATAAACGTAAAGAAGGGGGTAATGCATTCTATATAACGGAGCCTTGATAACAGAAAGATCTTCTGAAATACTCGGTTTTGTGTTTTGTAATGAATAGAGGACAGGTAGTTGCATATCTGGTATTAACGTTTATCGGTCGATAGCACACGATATCCTTAATATATTTCAGCATGTTATTATTAATCACCTTATACATCCATATTCTAAATTGGTATTGCACTCTCTGAACAACTGATTGCCATATTAGACATGATAATAATATAATACGAGGTGTCAAAATATCTACGTTTAGTATTAAACGGGCATAACGTTTTTGTAACTTTTGTAACTTTTCCAAATGACACTTTGCTGAACATCCCCACAAAATAATACCGTAGTCAATATGTGACAATATTAAACTATCATATAACAATTTTAAAATTCTTTTCGGCAAATAATATTTAATTCGTTTTATACATGATATGGTTCTAGATATTTTGGAGACAGTTTTCAATATATGTATATCCCACTTTAAACAATTATCAAATAATACACCAAGATATTTGTATTCATTTACAACTTCTATAACATTATCTCTGTAAATCAAGCGTACACTTTGATTTTTGATTCGTTTTCTTGGCCCAAATAACATGATCTTACACTTCTTGATATTCAACATTAAGTCATCTTTTTCAATGTGATCAACTATTTTTTTTTAACTCACATTTAAGCGTTTTCTCAACAAGGGCAATTTCTTTGCCTTGGCAAAATATTGCCGCATCATCGGCGTATAAACATATTATAGTATTTTCACAATAGGGCAAATCACAGAGGTCATTAATAAAAACAGTAAAAAGAAGGGGGACCAATATTGATCCCTGTGGGATTCCAGTATTTACTCCTCTAAATCCAGACTGTGCACCTTTAACCACGACACATTGTAATCGATCACTTAAGTAACTTTTAAACCAGGCCAATTCTTTTCCTTTTACACCATACTTGTCTAATTTGTAGAGTAAAATATCGTGATTCACCGAATCGAACGCACGTTTTAGGTCTAAAATAATGCACCGGAGATAAGACCCCTGTCTATCCCCCTTAGTACTTAGTAAGAAATCATTTACATCAACTAGCGCCGTTCCTGTTGAATGAAGCGGTCGAAAGCCCGATTGCCTATCACTGAGAAGAGCATTATCATTGAGAAAATCATACAATTGGGAGTGTACTGCCTTTTCTAAAATCTTAACAATATGTGAAAGAACCGAAATCGGACGATAGTTGGATGGGCTTTTCTTGTCTCCGCCCTTAAAAACAGGCGTTACCCTTGCGCTCTTCCATTCAACAGGAACAGAACCAGTGGAGAGTGAACAATTTAACAAATGTGTAAGTGGTTTTGTAATGAATGTTGAACCTAGCTTCAAAAGACGTGGATGTAGATTGTCAATACCACTAGATTTAAAAATAGATAATTTGGAAAGCTCTTTGAGAACAAAATCCTCTCCTATAGAAACACACGAAAAGATGTTATCAGTTAACTCATGTAATTCATTAAAGGTATGTTCAGTATCGTATCGACTAGCAGTTTGAGTGAAATATTCATTGAATATTGATGCAATACACTCAGAATCATCAATTACATATCCATCCTTTATCAGCTCAATCCTATCTCCCGATTTCTTCTTAAACGACACTTTCTTTAATGTTTTCCAAGTTTTGCGGGGATCACCAAGGTGCTCATTAAACTCAGAAAAATAGTATTCTTTTTTAAGTTTTTTGTTAAGATTATTTACAGCATTTCTCTTCTTTTTATATTTATTCCACTCATCTTCATTTCCGGATTTATCAAATTTCGCCTTTAAAAAGTCACGTTCACGAGCTAATTTCAAATAATCATCCGTTATCCACGGTGATCCATTGATTTTTCTACGAACACTAACAATAGGAGCATGTTTATTACGCAACTGATTAAAGCTCGATTTGAAATATTCCCATAAAGATTCAACATCATTGCCTTTGTAAAAGTTAGACCAAGGAAGTTTTTCCCCGTCACTCACATAGCTTGGTCAAATTTACGAAAAGATCTAAACTTACTAATAGCTGGCTTTTTCGGAATACACTCCTTCTTTAGGTTATCATACACTACACTGTTAGAACGGTGTTTAAAATATCACTGTTTAAAAGAATGTTGTTTAAAAAAGTAAACAACGTTGTTCAAAATCGAAAAATCAGTGCTCGATTGGCTTAAACAACTATCTATTAAAAAAAAAAAATTAATTAAATAGAGTTGTTTAAAAAGTCCCGGGGCGTCGTTGATATTTTCTCGATACGCGATTGCAATTTGCGCACACACATGCGATATGCACAAAGAACGTACATAATACATGCATGCAAGCATGCAGTGCTAGTGTGCAGTGCAAGTGCTAGTGCAAGTGCAGTGCAGACGAAAATGGCGGAACACGGGGCAAGGCGACGACTTGGTTCTTCTCGGCTTCGCCGATGGGGTTTAGGTGAAGTTATAGAGACAAATAATAATGTTGTCTGTCACTGCCATGAATATGATGAACAAATGTTGAAGGAAATTGGCAACAAGCTCTGCATGTTACAGTGTATAAATCGTTGTGATTATTGCAGGAGTGGTTCCAGTAGTTCATTTCACAAATTCAAACAACCAGATAATAACCATTAAACAGTTCTGTTTAAAATTTAAGCAACTCCTTTTAAACAACCCAGTTGTGCAGTAATACTGAATAGACAACAGTTGCTTAGTAATTTAAACATTATTGTTTAAATTTTAAACAACTTGCTTTAAACAACCGAGTTGTGCAATTGTATTACTAAACAACTGTTGTTTAAAAGGTTTCCTAATTTTTAAACAACTAAGTGTTCAAAATGTAAACAACCTTAATTTGTTTAATTTTTAAACAACAGTTGAGCGATTCACCGGTTAACTCGGGGTTGTTTAACATTTTAAACAACTTGTTAAATTTTTTTCTAACAGTGTAAAGAATGATCACTAATCCCCAAAGAAATTACATCTGAATGGAAGTCACTCTCAACGGACGGTACAAAAATAAGATCAACAAAAGATCGACTGGTGGGCGTTACTCTGGTTGGTTTGCTAATAAGCTGACGGAAATTAAAACAATCACATAAGTTCTGTATTTTTCTAGAAAGTGTGTTTTTTGACAAGAATGTTACAATTTAGGGCACCTAGGACGATGATGTTGGATGTAATATCATTAGCTCTTTCTATATTATTTTCTAACGTTTCAAAAAATTCCATTGTACTATTTGGAGGTCTGTATACAATACACACAAACCATGGTTGTGATTGCTTCAATTTGATCTCTATCCATAACACTTCTAGATTTCCCTGTTCAAGATCAGACCTTCTAGTGTAAGAAATTGAGCCTTTGATATAACATCCAATTCCACCGCCACTAGCATTTCGATCTTTCCGTTCAAAAACATATCCATCTATATTCAACTGTTGTGTTTCAATATAGTTTCATCAAGCCAGGTCTCTGACACAGTAAAAACATCAATCATATTATCGGATAAATAATGACAAATATGGTCCGACTTGTTTCGGAGACTTCTAACGTTTAAATAAGATATTACAAAGCATTTGCCAAAATTTTTTGTTTACTAACCCTTTCTCACAAAAAATACTTTTCGCATCATTTACATGATTAATGTTTTCAGGTTCCTCAGCAGTGATTTCTGAATAAAGCGGTAATTCATCAAAAATACATTTATTACATATCCAATCAGATGAAAAGTAAAAAGGTCTTCATCAAGAGAAGAACACGAAAGATGGATCCATTGTGAACATCTCACACAAAGAATAGCATTTTGATTATTCTTAACAGGTCTTAAACATACGAGGCAAGGATATTTGAGCAACATGACTTATATTTACATAGGCAATTAAACAGATAAGAGAATGTGAGGATATAATTTACAATAATTGTTCAATGTCACGTTCTGAAGAGATCCTCACCTTCTTGTCTTCCTTAGTTAGCACAGTGATTCTACAGTTATTTGTCCAGATTTTCCTGACCTTAAAGGTAAAGACCAGTTATGGTCATGCGATTGCATTGTGAAAGAAACGTTGTGGAATCGATCAGAAAGGGTTGATCATCTAGCATCTAGCATCTGCAAGGTTCTGGAATCATCAAAATGATAAGAAATTTGGCCCATTTTTCGTAAAGTTACAAGCACTATACACAGAAAGATGTATATGGGACTACCCTATATCTCTCACAGACCATGAGAGAAACAAATTTACCAAATATATGAATTAGTAGGCGGTTTCCCGGCAATTTTTTTTTATCATCATGTATTAGTCAAAACATATTCTTTCACATGATTGGTAATGAGAGCTTCCATTTCATTTTTTGAAATTGGGGCGTTTCCAATACTGGTCTTTACCTTTAATGATTGGTATACTCGTTGCGTCACTGTGTCCAGAATGGCTTTTGTCACTGTCTTTGTGATTGTGTCAATTACCTTCTGATGACCAAGGGCTTCAACAATGCGCTCATGGAGAGTTTCATTGAATTATTCCAGATGAATAGGTCCTAGTATTGAAGGCGATTTGGGTGGCTGACCAGCAGAAGAGACCGAAAGATCATCTAACAAGACGAATCGGGGCGAGAAGGGAATCAGTTTTACTTCGCATGATACATATAGTTACGATATATACTAAAGCGGAAAGTTGTCAGCCACTACATCACAGTGACATTTTATTTTTGTTCAAATTTTCAAACTTTCGCCAGTCTGCTTCTCTGAATTTTCTATTTGCTTTTAGAGTCGTTTGCTCGTAAGACTGGATTTCCATTTAACCATGTTTAGTGGTTGTTTAAATTTTTTATTTGTTACAGGGCCTTCGAACACGCTATGCTCTTGCCGTTACATTGTGAGCTACTTAGTATTTTTAGGTTTTACATGTGCGTTTATGAATCGGGTCAACATCAGCGTTGCCATGACGGCGATGGCAAACAGTACATACAGCTCGACCTATGACACAGTCAACTCCACAGCTGAACTTTGCCCCGAGAGGTCAAATGAGACAGAAGAAACCATCAGGGTAAGATTTTTGAAATAGGATACGTACATCAGAAGGAAGGGAGAGAGGGAGGGAGAGAGAGTGTGTGAGTGTGTGCGTGTGTGTGTGAGAAAGAAAGAGAGAGAGAGAGTGAGAGAGAGAGGGAGGGAGCGGGGGAGAGAGAGATGATGAGAAAGAGATGATGAGAGATGAAGGCAATGAAAACACTACTAGCAAGAGAGAGTGGTGGGGAAAGAGAAAGAGAGAGCGGTGGAACAAGTGGAAGATATATATATATATATATATATATATAGCAAAGGGTAGACAGAGCTTGAGGGACAGATAATCACATTACAAAAATATAAGGAAAGGAGAAATAGAAAGAAAAAGAGAGGGGAGAGAAAGAGAGGGTGAGAGGAGGAGAAAGAGAGAATTGAGGCCGGGACTCTCGTAGTGCCAACTAAAATACATACCACCGTGATGACGTGATACAAATAATACGGGCGCTGAATGGGTTGAAAGTTAAAGAAAGCGAAACGAATGGATTTCTCACAGCTCTGATGAACATGTATATGATCAAATATGTCTCAATACTCTATGAATGACAATCGAGCTTATTTGTCTTCGCATGCTGATAAATGTGGCAAGAGCTCGTTGATTTCAATACTAGTTCTTTGTCTCTCTTAATTTATTTCAAAGGAAGGCGAGTTCCCATGGGATTCGCACACGCAGGAGCAGATCCTGGCCTCTTTCTACTACGGCTTTCCATTCTTTCAGATCCCCGCCGGTCTACTGGCTGACAGGTACCCCCGATCTTGCACCATAATCATTGGCGTAGGGTACCTCATTTCATCCATATCGAATTTATTCATTCCCCTGGCTGCCTTCAACGGTGGTGCTCCAGCAATCATGGCGTTACGCATCATATCAGGACTGGCCGAGGTGAGTAATGAACCGATTATATTAGACAGCTCCGAAATATATAGAGATGTTATTGGTCCAGAGCTCGTCACGTGATATCAATTGCAAGGATCGTAATTGTTCTATTTTCCTGGCCGGTCACCTTCGATGGTCAATAGCTCTTGTCTATGATTATACTCCATGAGAAATAAGTAGAGAATAACATGTAATATATACCTCTCTCTAGTGTGTTGAATAAATCTAGTCATCTGATTGGTCGAACTTGGAGTCGCGATTTTAGCTACCGGTCACTTGTTTCTTTTTAAAGATGCCCGATGCCCCGGGTAACTGGCAGCATAAATAAATATTTGGTGAGACCCCCATCGGTTTACGTGTTAAAAGATTACAGTTAAACAATCAGCCAACTTTCCAGCGACGATTTACAGACAGTGTCTCAGATTTTCTGTGATTGTTTAGCCAGTCTTTACTCAAGAACCGGATAAGGTAGGAATTCTTTGTAGATTTTTTTTAAATTTGGTATATAAATGATATACCGACTGCTTTAATATTTGAAACATAGCTGTTTCTATACCGGCTCTCGGGGCGCCCACGCCTCGGGGTCATATCATAATGAAACGTCCCCTTGAGCCTATATAAATAGCGATGCCTCTCATAGCAGTCAATATATCTAAGGGCGCGTTCATGCTTGATTTTGACGGCCAGAATCAGGCATCTGTTACGCGTTTAGTTTAAGGCTGCGTTCATGCTTAAATTTTGAAGGCAGAATGAGCGATCTGAAACGCTCATCGTAAACGCTCATCGTGATCGCAGTTCCACGATGTACTGTTCATGCTTACTTCTCTGGCTCCCCCAGGCAATTCTCCGTGTGTGGCCTTAATTGGTCTTCCAGCTGGATTTGCAAACCTTCACTGTGCATGCTACGTAGACCCACTAGAGGTCAGTGCGTTGACCCCATTTAAACGCGTTTACAAATTGTAAACGCATCTTTTTGTGAGTTTACGATCGGCGATCGTGATCGCCGTTTTTCGGTGATTCTACAAAAGTGAGCATGAACGCAAGCGTGTTTTAAACTAAACGCGTAACAGATGCCTGATTCTGGCCGTCAAAATCAAGCATGAACGCGCCCTATAACACGCTTGCGTTCATGCTCACTTTTGTAGAATCACCGAAAAACGGCGATCACGATCGCCGATCGTAAACTCACAAAAAGATGCGTTTACAATTTGTAAACGCGTTTAAATGGGGTCAACGCACTGACCTCTAGTGGGTCTACGTAGCATGCGCACACAGGTTTGCGAATCCAGCTGAAGGCCACCCAAGGAGAATCGCCTGGAGAAGTGAGCATGAACAGTGCACCGTGGAACTGCGATTACGATGAGCGTTTACGATGAGCGTTACAAATCGCTCATTCTGCCTTCAAAATCAAGCATGAACGCGCCCTATGTTATAAACATGTTAATATATATTTATGTAGGTTATCAGTATGATTCTTAAAATGATTGATTATGGTTTAATTGCATTCAAATCTAGAGTGGCTGTTATCCATGTATCTACTCGCTGATGTCACGCTGGGCCCCCGAGGCTGACAGAAGCAAGCTACTCGCAATCGCCTTTGCTGGTGATTACCCTTTCAAAATTAATGTTTTTTAAATACTTTTCTTGCGATTCTATGGTGGAAGAAGTATAAAGAATATGTTGTAATTGGTTTATACAAATGGTACATATGTTAAGGAAAATTTTGGTAACATCATAACGGTGAAGAAATGGTGTAAATTTTGTTAAAAACACCACAAACCATAAAAAGCACTGCCCGCAAATATCTGCGGAACTAAACAAACGTGGACTTCGGAATTTTGGTCACAATTAGTTTACGCTTCCTATTAAATCAATTTGTGAAATACGAAAGTATATCGAAAGCAATCGTATTGATACTGCTACTATCATTGACTTAAGGTGGATCCAGAGTTCAAAGGGGCGCTTGCAATATTTGGGGGAGGGGGATTGACAGATCTTTCTTTGTGGATGAAACGTGAACGAAAAAGGACCATCGAATGGAAAGGGTTCTGCAGGGGTATTTAAGATTTATTATCACGTTCTTTCTCTCCCCTTTTATTCCTTTCCTTGTCTTTTTTCTTTTAACTCTTTTTTTCATTCTTTTTTTTCTTCTTCTCAATCGCGTCTTCCAGGGTCGTCATTTGGCCAAATCATAGCCCAACCTATCTCTGGCATACTTTCAGAATCAGACTTCCTCGGCGGTTGGCCGTCTACATTTTATCTTTTCGGTGAGTAAAGATAGCATCCCGAAAAAACACGTTGGCACCCGTTTTTTTAGTTAACTTAAAGGTAATACAAAGTTTTGGGAAATTTTGAAAATTGGATGGATAGTGATTCTTTACAATTTTGATATATTTGGATGCCCCTGTGGATGAATTATAAGCACTAGAAAATTCAGCTCATAATACACTTCTGCTTTCGAGAAAAATTGAATATACAAATTTAACGGTGCTCTAGGTAAATTTTGATAAATTTCAAATAGCGCCTACGGCCGTACAATGGTAGCTGCGATCATGAAAATCTCAAAATGTGTAGTTGTGATATATAATTTCCAAACGGGAATAGCTTATCCGTCGATTTTAGTCAAGAAACAATGTTTTATAGCTTAATTAATATTTTGACCTTGAGAGGGAGCTATACAACATAAAGAGTTTATTATTTACAATTTCATAACTTTAAACTCGATTTCAACCGCGACAACGATCACTGAATATTATAGGATCGCATATGCTTCCAATATGTTCTTTTGAACCAAATTCATGACCCCATACCAAAACTTTGTATTACCTTTAAAGTTCAGCTGGTATTTGATTTAAAGACCGTCATCACTACTGGGCCAGAAGGGATTAGACCACACAGAGAGCCATCGAGGTCACTGTGACAGGTGGCTATCTCATTAACTCAGCTCTCATTTAACATAAGAAAAAGAGGATCATGGGGGACCAACAGGCACCGATTGGGAAGTTTTCTATATAGAGGGAGCAAGTAGCTACAAGTATGGCAGTGTGCCTTTAAAATGTATTTTCCGAATGCGTATTACTTTCTCTTTCATTATCCTTTTTTTTCTTCCTGTAGTGGTATAACTATATATATATATATATATATATATATATGTTTGTTTAATTGTGTCTTTTTTATTTACTTTTTTGATCTGTTGCATCTTTTGTTTTCTGGCCTCGCGGAAGACCAGCAGCAACAATACACTGTTGCAGATGGTTATGGGTTACCAGTCGTATGTTTCCGTTTTATCTCTCTTGTATTGTATTTCGTTTTTTTTTTTAAATTGTAAGTTTTTGTCTTTGTATTTGTCTCAAAGCGAATTGGGATTTCATAAATATATCGTAGGCCTATTCCTGCATTATTAAAACAATTTTCTCTGCTTTTGTTTTGCTGTTATATAGGTTCCTTAGGAATCTTATGGTATATTCCATGGGTACTTCTCGTGTACCATTCACCTACGGTACACCCTAGAATATCACAGGAGGAGAGAGATTACATCGTGACTCAACTCAATCTCACAGATGGGGTAAACCAGGGCAATTTTTCTGGTTTGGGGGGGGGGCAAAATTCATTGTTGATCTTACTGGATCATTGAGGAGAGAGCGGTTCACTATTAGATTAAGATCGACTTAAGTTGGACTTGAACTATGGCAGGTCGTTCATTCCACCGGTTGAACCGGTTCATCATTCATGGCATTGGTCTCTCAAGGAACGTGCAAATTATGGTCACAAATCTACAGAATTTACATTTTTCGATAATCATTGTTGAAGAGAAACCTTATGTAAAGATAATGATTTCTTTGACATTTCCCCTATAATGTGAACACCAGTTCAAGAACTGTTGGGGCATAAATTGCTAAAAATTCTAAAGTAGAATTTAAATTTAAGTAATATTTCCTTGGGTCAACAATGAAATATTTTTAAAAAGTCAATTCTGTAGTTTTGTGACCACGATTTGGACGTCACTTGAGAGACCAATGTTGAGAGCAACCCGTGGCATGAACGGCATGCCGTAGTGTAAGTACAACTTAAGTCGATCATAGAAATTGTGAAACACCCCAGGCCAATAAAAAAAACACGCTCTTGCTCATAAGCACGATTGGTGCCTGAGCTGCCTCAACACAAATTATACTTACTTCAAATGCCCAGTGAATCTCTTGCGAGACATGCATTAAACTGGTCAATCTAGAACCAGAGGCGTTTGTTCAGGCATAGACTTTAGGTCAATGGTTCAGGGGGAGCACCGATCACATTCTTATTGCAGAATAGCAGGTTCAGTAGCTGGGAAATGCATTGAAACTATCTGTGTACAAATACATGCCTGTTGTAGACAAATTGATAACCTGTAGACCCTTTTTTCTATCTCGGAAATGAAATTGTACATCTAAGAATTATTTCGTTTCTTCAGTAAAACGAAATTGCATTTCTCTCACCAAATCTGTCTTTAACCTCGTTCCATACAAAAATATACGGACAATGCCTTTGAGGGATTAATCGGGTAATTTGAAGATCCCTTGAATGGCTGTACAGTAACCATTAAACATGTCGCTTCACCATTCTTCCTCAGCCACCAAAGACACCGAAATACCCGTGGAAGGACTTTCTAACGTCGATGCCACTCTTTGCTGTCTGTGCCACTGATTTTGCACTACTGTGGGTCCTCTATTCCCTCACCGCAAATCTTCCCATATTCTTGAAAGAGGCCCTGCGGTTCGATATCTCTCAGGTTTGTAAGACCATCGTTTAAATCCCCACCGAACTACATATAGTTACTTTAGCGCCCTCTATATAACAAACAAAGCCTAATCGGTGACCATTGATCCCCCATGGTCACCTTTTCTTCAGTTAATTAAGAGCTGATTTGATGAGATAACCAACTGTCAGAGACCATGCAGGGAGGCATAATCCCTCCTAGCCAAACTTGTGCAGAGGGGCTTGAATTCATCGGACGCAAATTAATAAGGGCTACAACCCGCGAGGCCGACATTTAACGAGACCGAAAACCCACGAGACAGACAACCCTTGAAACAGACAGCACACGAGACCAACAGCCCAAGACAGCAATAGCCCAGAGACAAATAACCCACATCCAAAAGGAACGATCCTTTGTCCGACTGACCATGGACCTAAGAGACCTCTCTTAGGTGAGATGGATGATGGTGGTGGCAGAATTAGCTCAGGACGATGTCCATTTTCCAGCTCCACGACGTGGTCGCTAGTGGCGGCAAATGAGAAGGCTCTTCAGTGTGCAAAAGCCTGGCAGGACATTTGAGATGAGATGGTGGACACGAAAGAAGACCTCTCTTAGGTCGATCCATGGACTGACAAGCCCTCTGAAAAAGGTGCCAGATCTCCCTCGAAGGAAACTAGCTTGCTGTTTTAATTTAATTATATGTTTGTTTGTTTGCATTGTGTTGGATTGTTTTGTCTTGTTTTGTCGACTACCATTGCCTACTGGATGTCACCTTTAATTAAAAGCACATATTGTCTTCTTTTTCTGCATACGTCTATTAAAATGTGAAAAATGTATTGTTGCTAATGATGTAATTAATGTTCTTTTTTGTTCTTCATCTTCTTCTACAGTCTGGCATCTTAGCATCAGTGCCGCATATTGTTTTCTTTTTCTTCATCATGGGTGGGGGATTCCTGGCCGATTTTCTCCTGACCCACACAAAGTTAAGCCTTACTGCTGTTAGGAAAATCATGACAACGCTCGGTGAGAAAACCGGTTTTATCTCTAGCCAGAGACGCATGCATCCCCATTTCACATGTTCCTTAAAATAGAAACAAAATTTGTTTCTTATAGTTGGATCAATGTATGAAGTCTGTGGTCAAATTAAGTATACGGACAACATTTTATCAGGGGGTTGTGGTCACACGGCCAAACATCAGCCTTCCAGGCTCTAAAGCCTAATGCAGACTAGATGTTACTCGACTACCACTTATTACGCAGACTTCAAGTCAATAAAATTCACACCAGAGTAAAGCGTAAGCGTCAGGCCTTCAGACAGTGACGGCTGCGACCAGACTTGGTGATAATGATGATCGATGATGATTTTATTTTATTTTATTTTATTTAAACTGACTGCTAAGAAAGCAAATAGGGTTGTAAGTAAGCAAATAGGGAACCGACAGCCAGTCCTCCACGAAGGACATAATAATGCGGATTAATACTTTACCAAAAGGCGCTATATATATAGCTCATCGACTCGGTTTCGAATCACGCCAAGATCACTCCTTTATGACCAATGAGCCATCGCGCCTCCTCAAACTTTTCACACGAACTGTTCTGTATGCACTCTTTTGGTTGTGTAGATTTTCCGTCAAAACTGTTGTTGTTTTTTAATACAAAATTGTTAATGCGAAACCTTGCGCTATAAGTCAATCACACCCTGCTTCACGGAGTTGCGTCAATGGCCAGGGATGGCACCTGAACGTCTTCTGTGTATGTATCATGTTTACATGCATGGATGTCCTGGAATGACGTAATTTGAATAACGCCTCGTGTGCATCGGACGTAATGGTCATTAAACAAAGCACACGGGCAAAATGTTATCAACACATAGTCGCATGTAAGCCTTACAGCTTTCGAATGAGAAATGCCAGTCACATCTAGTCATGGCACCAGGTCAGGTGTGTCCAGAAGATCGGGGAGCGTCGTTTTTAGTTCGGGAGAAGAATCGATTCTGAAAAACCTTTCTCAGGATCAGATCTTTTGAGGTCTTTAGGTGGTATCCGCAAGCGTAGTTCGAAAACGATATCTGAATTTCATTAAAGTTAATGAATTTGACATTTTTATCTTTGTTTTTGTTTTGTTTTGTTTTTGTTACTTTACAAGGGCTTGTTCCATCTGGAGCGTTTCTTGTCTTAGCGGGATATGTGGGATGTAACGCAACTCTAGTTCTCATATTCATCTCGCTGGGACTTGCCACTACCGGATTAGCTTACTCAGGAGCGTCCCTCACCATGATGGAGTTTGCTCCCGCCTATGCCGGAATGGTCGTGGCCATAGCAAACTCGGTTGCCACCATACCCGGCTTTGTTGCGCCTATTGTGGTTGCCATTTACACGGAGAACCAGGTATGTACCATTGATATAAATTGCAATGTATTTAAACTTTCATGAATGAAACTGGAGGGTTTGTTATCTTTTCCTCGCAGCAAGTGGCCGAATTGAGTATGATGTACAATTATAAAATCATACACATTTTAAAAAATCGCCTGATATATATATATATACTTAAAAATAAATAATTTAAAGGGTATTACATAAAAATAGTTTAATGAACTTATTTAAATTAGGAACGTTCACTAATGTATTGATTTAACTACGTGTAAATGCATTCAGGAGTTATCCTATACAGAAAAATAATGTCCATCTTCCTGAATTAATTTGTCTGAACGAAGGAATGATTTCAAAAGCAAAATAAGTTAAATTCGAGCTTGACAGAATACACCCTGCTCCTACAAAATAAAGAAAATGAAACAACTTATTAATACATGACTAAAATTTACAGAAATGTGGAATACTGGTTTAATAAAGGATTTGGCATTCTTCATATTTAGGTATTAGTATTAGGCAAGGAGCTTTTCAAATTTTGATATATCCATCATTTCATAATGGCGTCCTTATAAAGTGACCGGCATTTCCGTTAACCTTTATGATCTTTGCAACATGGGATCATTTATATCTAAAGTTCTAAACATATGAAGAAAAATACATTTATGATGATGATGACGTTAATAATGACGATGATGATGATGATGATGATGATCCCAGCATCTATATTTATATGTTAGAAAGCATGCAATGGCGCAGGCCTCTCCAGTGAAGTCGGTACTAACCAATTTGTAAAACTGGGTAAGTTACTATGAAAGGGGCTGTAGCATGGGAAATACTGGTTGACGCCACCTACGTCTGTGAAGCTGCTAAAGTGTAACCTCACGCTATAGTGTAACCTAACGCCTAAGAAACTGAAAAAAGGTTCACTTCAGCGGATACGCTATATACACACTGATACACAGTGGAACCGTTATTGAGGAGCACACGCTAACCGTATTTTGTTGGGAAACACAAGCGAACCATAATAGTGGCTCTGAAGGGACATCGCGAATCACAAACTTTGAAGTGAAATTCGTGATGAAAATATGCGACAAATCTCATATTTTGTCTCGATTTTTTAATTTATTTAGTTATATTCTATTTCCTTTATCTCTGCTTTCTTTCTCCTTCTCTCTCTTCCTCTCTTTCTTAATATATCTCACTTCTATAACCCCCCTCTCTCACTCTCTCACTCTCTTTCTCATCTCATTCTCTCTCTCTCTCTCTCTTTCTCATCTCATTCTCTCTCTCTCTCTCTCTCTCTCTCTCTCGTTATCCTTCTCTCTCTTTCTCTATATCTTCCCCCGCCCTTTCTGTTTTTCTCTCTGTCTCTCTCATCTTCTTCTTCCTTTTTCTTTCTATCTATTAATTGCTGTTTTGTGATAGCCGAGCTTTAGAGCCTTTGTACATGGTTGGAAGGCCCACCAATTTGATAGACACCATGCTGATGGACACACTTAAGACACACTTCTGCATGGATTTTCAAAACATGTTTATGAAGACGAATATAGTGATGAAAGTACAACACAAACCTAAATAAATTATTGGGCACTCCTTCGTCAAATTCGTCTTCAAACATATTTGTTTTATAAATCATTGCAGAAGTGTGTTAAATGACATCCTCTTTCACATCATTATATAATTTAACTGAAATTTTGCTATAAAATATTAAGACAATTTTGGGCTCCCAACACTTTAGAGGGGCTGTGTTTATAGTGCGTTCATTACATACATTCAGAAACATAAGGGAAAGCTCAATTTGATACGCTGACCGTTTTAAACGTAGTATAAATTCAAACATCTTTGGTTCTAACCAACCACATGGCCACATGATTGTTTCACGTTTATTTTGAAAATCCTTGCAGAGGTGTGTATTTTAAATGACATCCACTTTCACATCATTAAACAAATATAACAATACATGGTTGGCCAATTTGGGGGTTCCAACACTTTAGAGAAGCTTTATCTTCAATTTGTTATCTATTGGTACATAATTATGGGCCACTTTTTATGCCGTAGAGCGGTGGTGGTGATGATGATAATGATAATGATGATATGCGAGATGGCCATCTCGTGCAAGATTTCCTAACGTAGGCCTACCCTATCTCCCTAAAAATCGTTATGGCTGATAAAGATATTTTTATTTTCATTATTTTTATTTTTATTTAAAGGGTGAGAAAAGAGTTTTAAAACGTCGAAACAATTTTGAAAAAACAACTAAATGATAAGTTAAAGCCCCTCTAAAGTGTTGGGAGTCCTACACATTAATGGAAGAAAAAAAGTATGCACCAAAGTAAGCCATTTATGCATCAATTAAAAAAAAATCACATCTGAAGGGGCACATCCCCCTCAGACACCCCCTCACCTTGCGTTCTTGTTCCTGTTAATTGAACTTACGACTGTTTTCTTTTTAATTTGGCAAAAATTATGCACCAAACCGAGCAATTTATGCATCAATTGAAGAAAAAAAAACTTAAACTCTGAGGGGGGTACATCCCTCTCAGACACCCCCCCCCCCCTTCCTTCATTGCACGTCCATTCGCCTCCCCCCCCCCCCCCAACAAAATAACCTGGCGCTTAAGTGTAACCTGCTGCTAAAGTGTAATCTGCTGCTAAAGTGTAACTTGCTGCTAAAGTGTAACCTGCTGCTAAAGTGTAACCTGCTGCTAAATCTGATCGACTCCTTAATTCTCCCAACTATATTATTACAATTTAATTAAAATTAAGGTGATTGTTAATCACTAAAAAGCAATGAATTGGCTCTATATACCATTCAAGACATTTAATTGTTGAAAGATTTAAACAAATTCTGTCTTACAGTATGTCTTATTTTCATGGAAAAAAAGGTTGGGAGAATTCAACCAGAACGTCAATGACGTAGCGCTCATCCGCATCTCGCAACAACAAATAACCAAAATAACAATATGTTAGATTTCATATTGAAACGGTATTAATACTATTTCCATGAAATGTAGAAAGACTATTTATAACTGGATGAGCAGATGAGTAACTGTGATGTAGATGCTGGACATAGTGTGGTAACGCATGACGGTCAGTCTCTAGATCTCATCACGCGTGCGCCTTGCCTCAGCTCAGCTAGCTAGCTCCAGACGTATACACGAACAACGAACGCGCGCCGGCATCACGACCGCTACGGCCGCGAGCCCGTTCGCTGAAGTGAACTTCTTTTTCAAAAACTTAGGCGGCAGGTTACACTTTAGCGGAGTTTTCACTTTAGCAGCTTAACATACGTCTTCTTTTGGACAACTGCACGTAAACGAATGGACTTGATTAATATATATCACTGGGTCAGCACACGCTAGCGTTCGCGGAACAGACCGAAGGTCTCCTCACGCTTCAGTTTCGCGTATGTTGCACGCACGTGAATTTGTAGGCCTACTGCGGTCGCGTCGTCCGTAGTCGTATTATACCCGATTTTCCCCGAGTGGGCCTCGGAAAAGACGCATAGTCTGACTCTCGTCATGCTACAGCCCCTTTAAGTCAAGCTTTGGGGTGATTTTGACTGTCAGTCTCACGAAGAGATGAAGGAATTTTTATTAATAATACGCTTCCGATAAATGTTTGTACCGCAGGCAGACCTCGGAGGATGGAGAACATTCTTCTGGATATCCTTTGGGATCTGCATGGCAGCCTGGGTGATCTTCATGATCTTTGGAACCTCTGAGCTTCAGTCGTGGGCCAAAGTAGTCGACGACGAAGATGGCATTGATTCCAAAAGCTACACTAATGGAAGAGCCATCGAGAGCACCGATTTTAGATGCAGCACAGATAAATCACTTTAACGAAAGTCGAGCAATAAATATCCTTTTTTTAACTATTTAATAGACATGACCTGTTTGTAGATTCGTTTTACAAGTCTAATGACAGGAGGGTGAATTTTGTCATTGAATAAAAGTTAAAGTTTACTGAGGTTGATTTTTATACATACAGGTTGTAGAAAATGTATAGGTGATTGGGAACCCTGTAAAAAATCAGTACCTAAATGACTCCCACACACCTCCACACACATAGACACACGCACACATCATATCCCACGAGCGTGCAGACACACTCTAACAGACATCAACAGGTTTTCGTCATTTTTCTTTTGTTTTTCCAATTTGTTCTCACACCATGCCTTATTTCATTCCTTATTATTTGTCTGTTCTTCTCTTCATATCTCTTTATTTTCATATCTCTCTCTGTTTCTCTCTCTCTTTCTCTCTCTTTCTTCTGCATTTTTCCCTATTAAGTAACCGATTCTTGAAAGTTTACTATGTCAATAATACAACTTGATTTTTTTTTAAACAAAACTGTTGAAAGTACATAAAAGATTTATTAGATTCAAAATACATGTACTAAGACGGGGTACAATATCAATCCCCCAGAATATATACTTTGTATAAAAGACAGTTGTTCAATTAAATTTAAGGTAGGCCTACATCACTTAAAAGTATCCGGTAACTTTGTCTCAGATTCTGAAACAAAATCCTGGATTTAGCTCATGCTGCAATGATAATTATAAAGCTTTAGGTCAGTCAGGAACCCCATGACTTTTACAAGCCGATCGCCTGTCTGATTATCAAGATTTTATGATTAGAATTACAATTCATAACACTGCAGTCTATTGGGGTAAACGAGTATGGTAAAAACCGATCACTCAAAGATTTTTACTTTTTTGAGGCACTTCTTGATCATTTTGAAGCGCAGTTTTTTTCAGGGCTTCAATATTATACCATATCACAGACACTGATAACACGTAGGGCCGTGCATCTCAGATCTAACATTGTTAAACGATGCCTTTAATTCAAACGTGCGTTCGGGTGACCGTGAGGTCATCGCCAAACCGTATGCGAAGTACATTGTAGGACAGGTCTTTCAACTAAGATTTTTTTTTCAGAAATGTTGCGTGTTATGTTTTTTGTTTTTTGTTTTTTTTTCGAGAAAGAATTTTTTTATAAAGATTTTACAATCCCTTCTGTTTTCAAACATTTTATGATAGGTTAGCGTATTACAGTCTTTATTTTTTTTTAAACCATTATGAATTCAAACATTACCTTGAAATTAAAAACTATAATTGTTCCAACGAAACAGTGTCAATATCTATTTTGTTTTTAATCAAAGCTATATTTTAAGAAAAGCAATGAGAGGAAAGACTTCGAGGAAAACAAACAGAAGAAAAATAGAGAGAGAGAGAGAGAGAGAGAGAAAGAGACAGCGAGAGACAGACAGACAGAAAGAGAGAGAGAGAGAGAGTGAGAGTGATAGAGAGAAAGAGAGACAGACAGACACACACAGAGAGGTGAGACAAGGCAGATGTCAAGTCGAAGCTTCATATCTATTCCCAACGTTCTATTATAATCTCAGCCCGACTTTCTTCGAAAAGACATATTATTAAAAAGCACACTTTCATCCAATAATGGCGATTCGATCAGGAATAGTGCGGATACAATGATGTTTCTTTCTCGTTTCCGATGCCCCCGTTGCCGACGTTGCCGACATTGCCGGTATTGCCCCTGGAGCTGGTGTTGCCGACTTCGCCCTACTTGCTCTCTTGGGAATCAATATCCCCACCACCTTTGACCCCTTTGGCCCATGGCTGAAGCTCAGAGGTTCCAAAGATCATGAAGATTAACCAGGCCGCTACAGAAATCCCAAAAGTTATCCAGAAAAATGATCTCCATCCACTAATGTCGGCCTGTAATATACAAAATAACACGCATAGTTAAAAGGATATGTGAATAATTTGAAACAGCTGTTCATTGGACAACTAATACTAAAATTTGTTTTACGACGATTGATTATATTGATTGAACTGATCTACTTTAACTAAATTGTAAACAATCATTTTGCTCTTCATGCGATACATAATAAAAACAAACCTTCACCAGGGCGCAGACTTCCAAAAATCAACTCAAGAGAAATCTCAATACCGTATTGTATATCTTATAGATATAATCACTATGAATATGACGGACAAAGAAAGAGGACAAAATATACAGTTCCTCATTTTACCCTCAACAATTGCGATGGTAGACAAAGGTAAATCCCTTCACTGCTATTGTGTAAAAATGTGTAACATGCATATATCTGTTCTACATATTTTTACATAATAGCAGTGAAGGGATGTTCCTTTGTCTACCATAGCAATTGTTGAGGGTAGAATGAGGAACTGTATATTTTGTCCTCTTTCTTTGTCCGTCATGTTCATAGTGAATACCCAGATTACTCATACCGTAATGCTAATAAACTTTCGTTTATTACAAAGTGATGAACAAGGCTATTGAAATAAGCCAGTTCGTAGATACAATCTGCGCATGGGCAGTTAAAGGTCATCTGTACCAAAAAGGTAAAACCCACAGAGATGAATACTGGATATGCGCTCATGAAAGTTATGTAACATTATTCATTTATGCACCGACGGTACATTCTATGATACGCAGGTGGAAGTATTCTTTTCAAGAGGGCAAACAAAAGGTATTCATGGAGCACATCTAGGACTTTGGCAGTTATTATTCTAAGATGCTCAAAGTGGAACTTCTCCATGTGTAAAAGATATGTGGATATTTGGGGTCATTTGTACCATGTGCTATCTGTAAACTCCCTTATTGTCTGAGGTTTACATTTTTTGTGAAAGCCTTTGAGATCGTGTTTATCCAAGGAGTTACCACAGCGTGTGCAACATGCATACTGTACATGGTTTTACCTGATTTTCGGTGTAATTGGCAACAACAATTGGCGCAACAAAGCCGGGTATGGTGCCAGCCGTGTTTGCTATGGCCACGACCATTCCAGCACAGGAGGGAGCAAACTCCATCATGGTGAGGGACGCTCCTGAGAAAGCAAACCCAGTCGAGGCCAGTCCCAGTGAAATACACGTGATTACTAAGATAGCGTTACATCCCACGTAACCAGCTAAGACAAGGAAGGTCCCTGCTGGCAAAAGACCTGAAGAAAAAGAACATTTTTCCCATGAGAAGATCATGGATATAAATTTGTGTTTTTATGTTACACTAGTTATTAATAATATTAATGTTTTTGCTTATATAGCAATAGAGCAGTAGCGAGTTTCTAAGTACTTTACATTATTACCCCGTCATCGGATTCTGGCTTGCCCGCACACAATGGATGTACTTCCTCCACTTCCTAGGGAGCATTCCAGCACGAGCTACTAGGCTCAGATGCTACATTGGCATTTGCATCCTACCAGGTACCCATTTAACACCTGGGTGGGTGGAACCGCGGACCTTGTGATCGACAGTCCGGTGACGTATCCACTTGACCACAACACCTCTAAACCCTGGTTTGGGACTTTCTAGTTACTTTCCAAATGGTTACTGACATTGACTATATAGTAGTAAACCCGTTGTAAAGTGACAAAAAGGCCCACAAGACAGAGTTGGCTGATTGTGCTAGTTTCTTCAGCCACGAGTGGTCTAAAGCGATATCCCCGACAGCAAAAGAACTTTTGAACATTATTTATGCACAACCAATGTGCACCCCAGTTGGCCAATTCTGCTTTCTTCATTGACACACATGATGACGAACTGCCCCTACCCCACCTGTTATACCCCCCCCCCCCCCCCCCCCCCTCCATTCAAGATATTCCTGTAGCACCAAATGGTTCTCACCTCGCACTTGGGACGACTAATTCTATTTTTTTCCTTTCAACATGTTTACGCATTTCTTTGATTTTATGCCATTCCTTTCTTCTTCTTTTTTTATCCTTTTCCGATTCATTTTTTCAGATATCGTATTCTTTGATACCGTTATCTTGTATATTTTGTCATTCCGAACACCCAGGAATAGCCTCATTTAAATATATGGAGGTGTCCTGGTATAATGTTCATTAAACTTTACTCTCAATCCTGCGAGGTGTCCAAGGGTTGAGGGTTCGAATCCCAGCCCGGAACTAACGTCCTATGGCAAGATATTGATCCACATTTTCCACACTCCACCCGGGTGTAACTGGGTACCTGGCAATTTTTTGGGGGTAATCATGATTGCAGTCCCTCGGGAAGAACAGCATTGATTTGAATGGGACTTCCCTTGGTAAACAATGTTGTCATTGATATTTCATTTTTCTTATTATTAATATCATTAATTTAATTCCATTATTATTATTCTCATTAATATTAAAGGTATAGACCAGTTCTGGTCATGCGATTCCATTGTGAAAGAAACGTTGTGGAATTGATCAGAAAAGGTTGATCATCTAGCATATAAGTATTGCAAGGTTCTGGAATCATCAAAATGATACGAATTTTGTCCAATCTTGGTAAAGTTACAAGCACTGTATACAGAAAGATGTATATGGGACTACGCGATATCTATCCAGTCCGGATAATAATTTACCAAATATATCAATTAGTAGGCGGTTCCGGCAAAATTCGTATCATCACGTATTAGTCAAAACATATTCTTTCACATGATTAGTAATGTGAGCTTCCAGTTCATATTTTGAGAGGGGGGCGTTTCCAAAACTGGTCTATAACTTTAATCATTATTATTATTTATTATTTGTATTATCATTATCTATCCAATCTCCTTACCAAGCGTGGTCATGAATTTCCGGACGGTAGTGACACTTAAGTTGGTGTGTCTAAGGATAAAGTCGGCCACGGCTCCCCCGATCATGATGAAGATGGCAAAAGTAATATGCGGCACTGCTGACAGTATACCAGCCTGTTTTAAGGATACAGAAATAAAGAGATTTAAAGACCGTCGATACTACTAGGCCAGAAGGGAATAGACCACACAGCGAGGTCACTGACAGGTGGCTATCTCATTAACTCAGCTCTCAACTAACATGGGGGACCAACAGGCACCAATTGGGGAAGTTTTCTATATAGAGGGAGCAAGTAGCTATAAGTAGGACAGTGGGGCTTTAATGTTAACCACACGACCGACAATACTCACAGAGGTGGAAATATTGATGTGGTGACGGGGTGTAAATCTTTCATATGTGGAAGTCTTAAACAAGACTATTTAGCCTCAACATCAGAGATGTGAGTTAGTCCAGTGGCACGTTCCCTTGGTCGGCTCTTTGTCTTCGCCTCACAGAGGTGGAAATATTGATGTGGTGACGGGGTGTAAATCTTTCATATCGTCCTTGTTTTCACGAAGTGACGGTAGTGAAGTAAATCGTAACGCAAAGTGAATGCAATTTTTGTTCACTACCGTCACTTCGTGAAAACAGCGACGATATGTGGAAGTCTTAAACAAGACTATTTAGCCTCAACATCAGAGATGTGAGTTAGTCCAGTGGCACGTTCCCTTGGTCGGCTCTTTGTCTTCGCCTACAAACTGCCTCCGTAAAAACCCAATTACACACTCACACATGGATCTCGTAACCAAACTGCGTTTAATTTCGTGTTTTTCTTTGGTCGTTCTGTAGTACAATTTGACGAAGAAAGGGAATATGGGAATACGGGCCATGCAGGGTCGGGTCCGTAAGAATAGGGGGCTTTTCCGGGAGTCGAAGTAAATGATGAATCTGAAATTCTATACCGTTTTCATACGAAATAATCTCTCTGGGCGGTTTACGATGACGACACTTGCTCCAGTGACAACCTTGATCACTTCAAAGCTTCACTCAAAACTCACATCTTCCTTCAGACATTTAAATGCTAACTTTGTTGGAGGAGCTCGAGCCTTTGAATGATTTTTGAAACAGATAAATGGCGCCATACAAATTCTGTGAATCATCATCATCATCATCATCATCAATCGCTACGTACATGATCATGATGATTTCCAACACTAACCGAATTCTTAACTTCAACCCCGGATTCAACACTTTCCCTAGCCCTAGTCCCTTAACATTAAATCCAATTGCACTCTAAACCCGACTCTATTCAATTGTACGAATCCCGGAACAATTATTGTCGTGGGGCGCAATAAGCCAGATCATAGATACAACCTGCGCACGGGCAGATAAAGGTCATTTGTACCAAAATGGTAAAACCCACAGAGATGAATACTGGATATGCGCTCATGAAAGTTATAATAATAATAATAATAGCCTAATAGTCCACTCCAAATTTTATTAAACCGAAACGGAAATTCTTTTGCCCAATTGATCGTGAGCCCGGCAGCCACTGAGCAGCGCCAGATCGACGTTGCTCTATCCCCTTATTGTTGAACGCCAAACAAGGTAGCAACAACTCCCATCCTTTAACGTCTTTTGGTATGACGCGGCCGGGGTTCGAACCCACGATCTCCCGGTTGTGAGGCGGACGCTCTACTGCCTGAGCCAACACTACGTTATTGTAACATTATTCATTTATGCACCAACGATACATGCTAAGATACGCAGATGGAAGTATTCTTTTCAAGAGGGCAAACAAAAGGCATTTATGAAGCACATCTAGGACTTTGGCAGTTATAATTCTAAGATGCTCAAAGTGGAACTTCTCCATGTGTAAAAGATCTGTGGATATTTGAGGTCATTTGTACCATGTGCTATCTGTAAACTCCCTTATTCAGCAGGCATGGTGGTGCAGATTCTAGACTCTAGGGCCCGAATTCACAAAGGAGGTTTGTCGACAAACCTTGGTTTTCGTACGTCATATGACGCGTTTTTACGCGTTTTTTACAAACCTGGTTTGTAAAAAACAAAAGGAGGTTTGTCGACAAACCTCCTTTGTGAATTCGGGCCTAGATGACTAGACATTTACCACATGGTGTGTCAAGAAATACTGGACATCTTTACGAACCTGAGAGGTGTCAAATCGTAGAGCCTCCTTCAGGAAAATGGGCAGATTTGCGGTGAGGGAGTAGAAGATCCAGAGAATCGCAAAATCGGTGGCACAGACAGCATAAAGGGGTAGTGAAGTCAGGAAGTGCTTCCAAGGGTACTTTTTTGGAAGCTAAAAACAATGAAGTAAATTTCAGGACATTGTTCATGGATTTTATCACAGGGGAAAATATCAACTGTTCTCATCTTAGAACAAATTTTTTGGAGCTGCGATGTCAGAAAGTTTATATTTTCGGGTTCGAATTGTAAAAAAGAAAAGAAACCAAAGTAAAATGTTCAATAAGATTTGAAAACTAAGCCATTGTTTAAATTTATCCATTAAAAAATACCACTAGCTATATTTTGCAAAAATAAGTAATGAAAATGATAATATTCAGGATTATATAAGTTTCGTTAATTCGCTAACTAAGATCAATAATGCCACTTTGAGGGAATAACAGTTTAACTTCTTTACTTAACTGGTGAAATTAATAGCTTAATCCTCGTTAATCACATTGTCACGTACAAGATTGTTTGTTGATCATTCTGGGAGGCAGTGAACTCCTTCATCGGGCCTCAGAGTTCTCAGTTTGATCGGTGTAGTTATTTCTCATAATTATTGGACAAAACTCCTCTTAATAGGGGTTTCATCCAAACGTTTCTTAAATTAGTTCGCATTCATGAATACCAGCATATAGGTGTTTTGCCAGTAGCAGATATTGATTATTATATTCTACATACAAAGAATCTTGCGCTACGATTGATCAAAAGTAAATCACGTGATGAAAGATAGTTCGCCCATCATTGATGGGAGAAGAAAAGTTCGTTACACTGCGTAGATAGTAGTACTATCTACACAGTGCAACGCACTTTCTTGTATACGTTACGTATAAACGTACGTACGTAAGTACTGCATGCACTGTACGTATCGTACACCGTTTTCTAGCTGTTAATTGGTGATTTTTTTTTTTGCTCTAAAATGACGGAAGAAGTAAAATATTTCCGATGTGGAATATAAAGCAAATAATCACCTTTTGGTTTCAGGCGATGGCAAACTATCACTTCCTCGGCAATCTGAATGTATAAGCCATCTTTCCGAAGCGAAACATCCAGATCGCCTCGGGAGTGATAGTTTGTCCCATCACCTTCACCAACGGTAATTATTTGCTCACTATATACGGTTACCTTGTTCTGAAGATCGAGCTCTGCCATGATGTAATCTCTCTCCTCCTGTGTTATCCTAGGATGTTCCATAGGTGAGGAATACACGAGTAATGCCCATGGAACACACCATAATACTTCTATGGCACCTACATGCAGTTGTTTGAATAAAAAAGACAGACGGACACTAGTGCCATAGGTGGGACTCGAACTGCGAATCGTGTGATTCACAGTTCGGTGATGTGTCCACGATACCACCAGACCTCTTCTTGTATTCATTACGTCCATAGCTCACAATTCGATTTCATATGTTTATACAACTTACAGTGGATATTGTCGTTAAAGCAGTGTGATTTTCGTTGCAAAACGGTGTGGGAGATTCCTCTTTCACCTTGATAAATCAGTATATCTGGCTAGGTGCAAAGAATGCAGATTAATATCATGTTAAAACTGTCATAAAAATTAAGGTTGTGTAGTTTTCCATAATTTGGCAGCATCTTTCAATTGATTAATAACATATATCACCAAACGATATATATTTAAGTTTTTGTATGGCTATTATTTGTATTTTGTTAATAATAATTTTTGTCGTTGACAGGATCACTAAGGATTTACAGTTTTACTCACCGAAAAGATAAAAAGTGGATGGCCAACCGCCGAGGAAGTCCGAATCCGAGAGTATGCCGGAAATGGGTTGAGCGATGATTTGTCCGACCGACGAACCTGTTTAACAATAACAATAATATTAATCTGGATTGATATAACACTTAAATCCCGTCTGAACTAGTTTGGCCAGGGGGATTAGACCTCCCTGCAAGGTCACTAACAGGTGGTTATCTCATCATAATTATCAGCTCTCAATTAACTTAAGAAAAAGGGGATCATGGGAGACCAATAGGCACCGATTATAGGCATTGTTTGTTATATAGAGGGCGCAAGTAGTTATAAGTAGTACTGTAAGGCTTTAATATGGATACCGTCTCTAAGTGCTTTAGATATATTATCACCCCGGTCAAAGGATTCATTTACGCACAATGTGCATCATCTCCACTCCCTGGGGAGTATTCCTACCATATGGTTAATGTGAGGGAATGGGCAAATACTAACACAAATGTTTTCGTCATCCTATCGGGTCCCTATTTCTCTCTTGGGTATATAGTGGCAAATGTAGATCAATGCCTTGCCAAAGGACATTAGGGCCGTATCAGGGATCGAACCACGACCTTTGACTTTAAAGTCAAGAGCTTAAACCACTCGACTACGACACATCTACACTTTAACCGGAAAGTGAGAAGAAATGAGGTTAATACATAAAGATAGAGGGATTTAGAGATGGAGGTTTAATAGAAAGTTAACGGGAAAAGTATCATTGATTTTATTTATGAAATAAACATATTTAACGCGATCGTAACTGCTTTCGGAAAAATCACTATATCAGTAGGTTTGTGCGTCACCGATTGAAATGTACGGAACATGCCAATGAGGTATTACCTAATCTGGGGGGTGTTTAATCAGTTAGAATTGATTGCAATTTTAAGATCGATTTTAAAGGTACTACAAAGTTTTGGGAAATTTTGAAAATTGGGTGGATAGTGATTCTTTACAATTTTGATATATTTGGATGCCCCTGTGTATGTTTTATAAGCACTAGAAAATTTAGCCCCTAAAACATATCTTATTTCGAGAAAAAAAACTGAATATAAAAATTTACCGGTGCTCCCGGTAAATTTTGCTAAATTTTCAAATAGCGCCTACGGCCGTACAATGGTAGCTGCGACCATGAAAATCTCAGAATATGTAGTTGATATATATAATTTCCAAACGGGAATAGCTAATTGGTAGATTATAGTCAAGAAGCAATGTTTTATAGCTTAATTAATATCTTGACCTTGAGAGGGAGCTATACAACATAAAGAGTTTATTATTTACAATCTCATAATTTTAGACTCGATTTCAACTGCGACAACGATCACTGAATATTATAGGATCGCATATGCTTCCAATATGTTCATTTGAACCAAATTCATGACCCCATATATCAAAACTTTTTATTACTTTTAAGTCTTGATCAAACAAGTTCAAGTTCAAGGTTTTATTTCCACATGTGGCTCATAAAAAACAAGTGTACATACATCTTCAGACATATAAAAAAAATGCAAAGTAACACAAGATCAACAAACAATAATATTTAGAGACACAAATAGCAAACAAAATCTAAAGTCCATTAACACAGAACAACTAAATACATGTAGATATAAAAAATATTAAAAAAGCATGTGGGGGACCAGCAAAGGTCTGTTGAGGCTAATCCCCAGTACAATAATAGATATTTTGGATATTTTATAAAACAAACAAACAAACAAACAAACAAAAACCAACCACAACAATCCCCTGAACGGGATGTACAATGGGGCATTGAAATTTCCCGTGAGTTGATTTTCGAACATAGGTGCGATCTTGTACAAATTCTAAAATTTAGGTAGGGGTTGAAGCAATAAATTTATATCTTTTGCCTTCAGACATTTACGTTTTTTCAAAGATACGCATTCTTACTGTTTTATCTTTTACAAAATCATAACCGGCCGACATTTTTCTTTTCTGATACAGATGAATCTTGAAATTTGAATCCTATGAGGACCGAAATCGGTAGCTAGAGCCGGGGTAATATTAGGGACTTTTAGATTTACACGACGAGAGCTTGGACTGCGCGTGAGACATTGTGGTAAGGCACTGGGCCGTACCCGGCAGTGCCTTAAAATGACTTCACATTACCTTAAAAGGATGTCACACGTGGCGGTCCACGTTCTCCGTCGTACAAATCTAAAAGTCCCTATTGTAGCGGCTTGAGCACCTTATGTGGCGGATATGTGCGACATAAAAATATCCAATATTGTTATCATAATCACTCAGATAAAGAGAAGAAAATTTAATTGTATGATTACCTACCAGCTAAAGCGATGGACATTTGCCTGCCTCTGTCCGCTGTGGGCGTCCATCGTGACAAAAGTGAATACAGACAGGGATATGTAACACTCTGTAAAACAAGTGCTTGACAAATTAGAAAAATCAGCCTAATTTTATATTCTCAATGCAATTCCGTGACTGAAAATAGGAATTTTGGAAGGACGGAAACAAAAAGATCTGAAATTTGATATTTGACATTTTCACCCTTCTCCGCAGATTTTAATATTGAGGAGAGGTTAGATGTTCGTAAGATAATTTTGCTTTCTGGAAGCGAGATCCGGTGTTGAACTGTTATAGTTGCGGTGGAAAATAAATGATCGAAGTGACGGTAGTCTAGTGGATACGTCGCCGCAGTGTAGATCACAAGGTATGTTGTTCAAATCCCTGCCCAGCACTAACGTCCCGTGCCTCTCTCCACCCAGGTGTAAATGGGTACCTGATGTTCTTTAGCGCTATTTACTTTGGCGGCTCAGGTAATAATGTCAAAGCGCAGTGAGTGATATTTAAGTGGCCATTATTATACAACGCCCCTTTAAATAATACAAATGACTGTTTCTTGTCTTAAGCGCTTTTACAGTTAAAAGACCAAAGTGCTTAAAGTGCGTAGGCACCCCCCCCCCCTATCAACCTTTTTACCAGCTCGCACATGCTAATCCAATCACACGGTCTTTCGCATCCTGCCTGATATACCACACCTGGGTGGAGAGGAGCAATGAAGATGAAATGCCTTACTCAGGACATAAGTGTCGTGCCGAGGTCCGAACCAACGACATTTGCATTTCCAGTCAATAGTTCAAAATGTTTGACCCCCCACCCCCCGTATGCGGTAAATCTCCTTGTTCACTAAAGATTTCTTGTAAACATTATGCTCATTTAAATATTGATTCAATCGGTATAGTGAATTGGAATTGGAATTCGTAAATAATCAGATTGAATTGAAAATTAAAAAGACCCACCTCTGCTACACCCGCAATAATCCGCAGTGCGATTATTGCGGATGCACCACTATTGTATGCACCTAGCGGAATCAGCAGATTAGTTGAGGCTGCTATAAAGTACGCAATACCAATGATCAAGGGGCAGGATCGAGGGAACTTGTCGGCCACCAGGCCAGCGGGGATCTGGAAGAGTGGTAACCCGTAGTAGAAAGCTGCCAGGATGAGCTCCTGAGTGTGCGAATCCCATGGGAATTCACCCTCCTGCAAAAATGAACGAAGGTTAATAAAGAAATCACCAGGGAATTGTTTTACTTCATTCACTTTCACTTAGGCTTATCTAGATTTGTGTTTGGTAATTGATTCAGTATTCAGTCATGTGAGGACTGTTTTTTCAAAAAGGCAGCCAAAGGATCATAATATAGCTCATCTATATATTGAAACTTTATAGACATCTTTTAGCACGAGATACTAGTTGGCGAATATTTTAAGATGATTTTCATCTCTTGGTGTAAGTGAAATTCTATCGTGTACAGCGAATAGATAAATAAAGTAGAGCGATATATAAATTATATCGAGATATTAGGATATCTGTATCGATATTTCGGTGATTCCACAAGCTTGGAGAAATTAATGTAAATTGCTCTGGATGCTTTTAAAAGCTATTCATAGGATTTTATAATGTCTTCAACTCAGATAAATTACTCTACCTTAACGTTTTCACCCATACTTTCGTTCGATCTTGCAGGACATACTTCAGCCGAGGAGTTGACTACGTCATAGGTCGAGCTATATGTACTGTTGGCCATCGCTGTTATGGCAACGCTAAGGTTGACACGGTTCATGTAGCCACATGTCAAAGCTAAGAAAGACATGTAGCTCACGATGTAACGGCATGACCATGCCGTGTTAGCCGGTCCTGCGACGAAGCAAAAAAAATCACGGCAGATAGATCACAATATTTAGCAGCTAACATTTCTATTAAAGCAATAATAAATTGATGAACTTTCTACCCGTGCCTACTAGACATAGGACTCGATGCAAGATCAGAACTAGCACAGCTAGGGAAGTCGCGAGTTATGGGACCACACTTCACACATTGAAAAAGAGGTTTAAACTTACTCCCTATAAGGAGTAAATGCTTGTCGCATAAGTGACACCCCTCAGGGAGTAAATTTACACCCAACAGGAAGGTGTAAATTTGCACCGGTAAAAGTTAAAGACAACCTCATAGATTTGCTAGAAATCAACCTAAGACTATCTAAAAAAAAGCATCGTCCATCACCATTTGAAAGGTCTGGACGTCACAAAGAGGTATATAATGTTCTGGACATAATTTCCATTCAATATACAATCCGTATTAATATTTCCCTACAGAAAGACTAACCAAAATATTATTTCTTGAGTTCAATCTTCATCATCTTTTGAAATATGCGAGCCTATGTCGTATTTCGTAAGCAACAAGATTTCTATATGGGATTTCCATAGGATATCAAAGTTGCCCTTTAATTGATTTCTTAAATAATCTTGTGTTATAATTCCTTTCTGTTTTACTCACTTGGTATTTTTTTAAGCAGGGGCTCCGATTCCTCTTTCCCTGAGTATTCCATGTGAAGGATATCAGTTGTGACAGTAGATACGTCGTCCAGACCAGATACCATTTTTATTTTATTTTTATTTGAAGAAGAAAAAAATGACCACGCAGAAAGATATCCACGTTTGACCAAACGACGTCAAGAGTGTGTACATCGAAGTGTTCTAGCCGTCTTTGGTGAGTTCTCTTGTATGTGTCTTATCCTCTGTGAGGTTAAGACACATCTAAAATCGATCTTAAACGATCCTGGACCACTACTTATTACAGCGATCTCTCTACTGTCATGTATCGTTTGATCGTTGACATTGGTGACTCATATAGTGAGCGTTCGATCCCATATAGCGTTCTATTCATAATTTTATGAAGCTAATGTTAATATCAATCTCAAAGGGATCAATAGAATTCTGGATTTAATCCACAAGATCTATTCTTTTGGAGCAGACAGGAATCTGACTAATCAAAGAGAAAGAATCATGATCCTTCCCTCGATCGAATCACATAGACCTTCCCAAACATATCATCTATCGAAACCCCTTCCATTACATGTACAAAAATGAAAATTATAATTTCTTTTTTAGTTAAGACAATAATGTATTTTTTTTTTAATTATTTTTTGTTTTTATCTTTCTTTTTCTTCGTGTTTGTATTTAGATTGTTCATTTGGTATTTTCCACTTTTCTTGTATGCTTGCCATATTGTATAATATTGTATTTATGTTTAGCATAGGCTAGGTTTAGATCATTCCTATTTATCGTTATACTTATACTTATATTGTTGTTTTGTTGTATTCTGTATTTTTTGTATTATTAAGCTATGTTAGTATTCTTTATTATGTATCATTATCATGACATGTACATGTGTTGTACCCTTATACCCCAGAAGGGGGTCGAATGAGTCAATAAATTCTATTCTATTCTATTCTATTCCATTTTCCTTTTTTGTTAAATGACTTAAGGAGACTAGTGCAGGTTGGCCGATTCTCGCCTGTTAATCGGTCAAATCTTTCGTTCAGACAGAGAACTGGAAAAGGTCGATAACTGTGTTTTTAACCGATCTGTTTATCATCCGTATGGGTTGAACTTAAAGGTAATACAAAGTTTTGGTATGGGGTCATGAATTTGGGCCAAATGAACATAATTGGAAGCATATGCGATCCTACAATATTCAGTAATGGTTGTCGCGGTTGAAATCGAGTCTAAAGTTATGAAATTGTAAATAATAAACTCTTTATGTTGTATATATAGCTCCCTCTCAAGTTCAAGATATTAATTAAGCCATAAAGCAATGTTTTTTTTACTAAAAAAGACCGATTAGCAATTCCCGTTTGGAAATTACATACCACAACTACACATTCTGAGATTTTCACGGTCGCAGCTACCATTTTAAGGCCGTAATATATAAGCGCTATTTGATATTCAAGTTTTTTCGAAAGCAAAAGTGTTTTAGGGGCTAAATTTTCTAGTGCTTATAATACATCGACAGGGTCATCCAAATATATCAAAATAGTAAAGAAACACTATTCAGCCAATTTTCAAAAATTCCCAAAACTTTGTATTTCCTTTAAAGGGATCGTTTAACAATGTTAAATCTGGGATACACGGCCCAACGTGTTGTCAGTGTCTGTGATATGGTGTAATATTGAAGCCCTAAAAAAATTGCGCTTCAAAATGATTCAAGAAGTGGCTCAAAAAGGTAAAAAAAAGTCTTTGAGTGACCGGTTTTACCATACTCGTTTTCTACAATATACTGTAGTGTTATGAAAACCGTTTAGCAAACGGTTTTCAAAATTTGTAATTCCAATCATAAATATCTTGATAATCAGACAGACGATCGGCTTGTAAAAGTCATGGGGTTCCTGACTGACCTAAAGGTTTATAATGATCATTGCAGCATGAACTAAATCCGGAATTTTGTTTCAGAATCTGAGACAAGTAACCGGATCCCTTTAATGACATTGGAGAGCCAGCCATAGACTCCATCGAAGTTAAAAAATAAATAATATCCGATCGTGTGTCATACTTTGACCGAACTTTATATGATCGTAATGCAGCGACAACTAAACGATATTGAACGAAATGGGAGAGGTAAAGAAGTGTGAAGTATGTCATATATGATGATAAAAACCAATAGTTTACAATAAATCGTATTTACTTCATAAAATGTGGACGTCAATTTGATGAAGCATCATAAATGATCATACGTGCACGTAAATTCCTCTGAACTGGTTTAATCTGGAAAAATCTGGATACATTGTCGATTTGACAGCAAATTCGAATAAAAAGTTTATCGCAGTTGTTCTAAACTTTCAGTTAAGTTTGCGCAAACTCCATTTTCGGTGGAGACGGTACGAACAGAAGTATATCATGCCATGCTTAATTGAATGAACGTGTGACGAAAAGACGAGAAACATAACAAGTTGACTGACGAAGATGCAAATTTGAATGCACGGATCAAGAATTTGAACTATAGAATAGAAAGGCCGGGCTAGATTATTTTGTATAGAATGGACGCAAAATTAATTGCATTGGTGTAGTCACACATTAGGCCAGGAAAACATATGACGAAACGATTAATAACAAATATCAAAATTCAAATGGCTGTTTAACAAAACTGTTGTTGATGATGGTAGTGATGATGATGATGACGATGATGATGAAGTTACTGATAATGATTTTCATCATGTCTGTTTTCACTGTATTTGATGTCATTTCGTCATTTCGAATTGTTAGTTATTGTCTCGGCAAAAGCAAATCAGGTGCAAAACTTCACTCCGGATATTTTGATTTTATAATTAACAATAGAGTGAGGGAAACAAAAGCGGTGCAGGAATGTTACAAGGAAAGGCAAACAGGGGGTGAAAGGGTGAAATACACACCCACCAATTCGCGCGCACACCCACCCATTCGCACGTACACCCACCTATTCGCGCGCACACCCGGTATCCATACACAAACAGTACCCTGCACCCCTTGCTATGGGTGCGTGAAAATGAATTTCATTGGCACTGTCATTGCGAGTCACACTTTATTAAAAAAACAGCATCATAATTCTTATAAACCATTTTTACTTATTTGTTATCTTATTTATTTCTTTAATAAATATATTAAAAAACTGATGGCAGCTTGATTAAACAAATGATATGTTTGATAGGCCTACGTTATCAATATAAAGTAATCATAGCGTTAAATTACGTACAAGAATCATAAAGGATTTGTACATAAAGGGATATATTTTAATGATTCATCGTAAAGATATGAATCCTCTCAATGGTTTCAACTGGGTCAATACCGTGCCTTGTAAAACTGACTTGAAATTTGCCGACACAGCGATTTTCGTGTTCTACTGCCCTGTCCTATTGGATATAGTAGGCGACGATAATGTCCATAAACATTTTTTAAACATTATTTATTAGATCTATTTAAATATAATCACATTATTTGCGTGTCATTGAACATGATTATGAGCCAAAATACAACTGTGTAAAGAAGGGGTGACAGAGAGGATAAATGAATCAACTACAAAAATTAATAGGCAACAATTGAACAGGTCCTAAACCACCAATGGGTGCAATAGAGAAGGTAACCCAATGGGACCCCTATACAGAGGCGACACCCATACGAGTGAGCAGACCGGACAGCTAGAGTCCCGGTCGGACAACCATGCCGTGCACCACACGGGACAGACTCAATGATGCACGAACCTCCATATATTATACCCGATATTATACCTAGCTTGCCTGCAATTTTTCATCTTACAAAATTTTTCTATCGAGCATCAACAACAGCCTCACCAACTAGATTCACAACAGTTTACAACTTATGATGGACCCTATATCTGCTCCGTGTCGCGAACCCCCCCCCCCCCCCCCCAAACCGAACGAAACATCCTGCCACACGGCCGACCAGAGCAAGGCAGGGAGGTAGGCGATGCCTCCGTAGTCAGTGATAATTAGTATTACTGTAAACGGTGCATAAAATTGTTTATATGAGTGGCTGCAGGATTAAAGATCAAAACTACAAATTCAATTCAAAACATAACAGAATCAAATCAAATATCAAAACGTCACTTATTCAAATGAGCAGAGAGTTTAACTTTTACCTTTCTTGGCTGAAAAAAAGTCACTCTTCTTTTTGTTAACCCCCCCCCCCCCCCCCCCAGAGCAACAAGATTAGGTGAGCTTTTGTTAAACTTACAAGTCTAAATATGATATTTCATAAATAAGAATAGATGTGACAAAATCACTACAGACTCCAAAATATAAAATACATGTATATTTAATTTTTACAAACTTTTTGGAATAATCTATAACAACAAAAATTAAAGCTTTTATTTCTTTATTCAGACTTGCATAATTATACAAAATGATAAAGAGGAACATAATTGTTCTTATATATATTGTCTCAAACATTATAAACACAGACATATTTTAAAAACATTCCAAATTATCCAAACTAATAGTACATATTAAATCAAGTATATAAATTTTGATAGAGTCAATTTTGGAGAAAGAAAAATAGATTTTCAATATGAAAAAGGAAAAGGTGATGGTAATACTTCATATTAATATTTTCGGATACAACATCATAAAAAGATATGATTTTTTTACAGCATAAACATAACTTCAGTGCAAATTATTTAGTTCAATATAATTTAAGCAATCTGAATAAAGATTTTCTTATATAAACAAAAAGTATAAGGTGAAAGTGTTTCTTCATTACCCATTATAAACCAATTTGTTATATTTACAAAGAATGACATGGTGCATTTTTGTTAAACTCCTTTATTTTATTATGTGGGTCTTGTATCAGTGGAGGTCTGTAACTATACTGTTATTTTAAAAAAACGATGAGATGAGAACACGTTAGGAGAGCGCCAACTAGTGGCAAATGTCGAAAGGCGAATATTTGTTTGTCACTTGCCACTGAATCGTAGAGATCAGTGTATTCGAAATTGAAATAGCAGACCCTTTCTCTCTCTCTCTCTCTCTCTCTCTCTCTCTCTCTCTCTCTCTCTCTCTCTCTCTCTCCCTATCTCTCTCTATCCCATCTTTCTGTGTGCGTTGGGTGT